TTCCTTGGTGCCTGTGCAGAAAGGCAAGGTGATTTAGATTCAGCCTCAGCCATTCCTTGTCCAGTCTCTTATGTCCATGTTCTGTAGTTACCCTAGTTGAACATTTTCTCACCTGAGAATTCTACAATTTAAAACCTATTGGAGGAAGTTCAATTTATTTTTTGCTTTTAGTTTTTAGGTGGTTGAAATACAACCTTCTATTTGCCCTGATTATAGTCCTCAAGAGTTTAGTTATGACCAGGAATAAAAGCAGATCTTTATTATCATAGTGTAGTGGGAATTATTTAAAATTTATTTTTAGACCAAGCCTTTATCTGAGCCTCCTGGGTCCTGTTTACCACAACTGGAACTAAAAAGTTGTGATACTATGGGTGTTGTCACTACTGTAGTTTAAATACATCCCACACCAACCCTCTTTATAACAGAGCTCTTCATGTAGTTAAATATGCCTTATGTATAGTGTTTCTTGTTCATATCTCACTCAATTTTGGATACTGTCTCAAGGTATAGTTCTTTCCTGTGAATCATCAAAGTCCAGTAAGAGGAAAAAAAATCCATGCTGGGTACTTCAATCAAAGAAATTTAATATAGGGAAGTAACTATTACAGAAGTGTTCCAAGAGCTGAAAATAAGCATTAATGAGGCTACCCAGAAAGAAACAACTATAAAAAGCTACTGTTATCCTTTGGGCCTGAGGGTCAGGTCAGGGATGATGTTATCAGAGTAGGAGCTAGGGCTGTCCTGTGGGAGCTAGAACCTTAAAAAAAGAACCACCCAAATGGAGTTGGAAGCATGGCAAGGTGCCTGACAGGATTTGGAACACAAATGGAGAGGTTCCCAGGTAGGAGCAGAAACCACAAAAGAGACAAGGCCTCTACTTGACAACTCCCAAAGCAAAGAGAAAAGAAAATACCCTGGGTTCCTCTTCCCCTTCCCAATTTCCCCTCAGACTCCCAGGAACTTCCACTGGCTGAACTGATCCAGTAGGAAATGAGCAAGGGAATATGGGAAATACAAAGTAAACCCTTGGGATTCAAAGCAGAGAAGGGCAGGAAATGGATTTAAGAGACAACAGCAAATACACTATACAAGAATGGGAAAAAGAAATGCAAATATCCAATAAACATAGGAAAATAAGTTCAACCTCATTTATAATCAAGGAAATAAAACTTTAAAACACAGAAATATTTAAATGCAAAATGTTGATGAAGTTATTTAGTAGTGGGAACGCTTGTGTGTACTGTTGGGAGAGCACATTGGAAAATACATTGTCACTGTCTAATAACATTGATGCTGAAGTAATTCCATTTCTAGAAACATGCCCTCAGGAAACTCTAGCAATGTGCACCAGGAGACAGCTACAAAAATGTTCACAGATGCAGTTCTAAGGACAGCAAACTACCCAGAAGGAAACTATCCACCTGGAAATTACTCAAATGTCTACCAACAACAGAAAGGATGTGTTTTATTCTTATAATGGAATGCTACATAAACAGGAATGAACTATAGCTGCACACAACACAAATGAATGTCACAGGCATAATTTTGAGCAAAAAATAACCTTAAGTAATTCTGTTTACACAAAATTTAAAAATATGCAAAATTATACATACTGTTTAAGGAATTAATCATATATGAGAAAACTGTAAAGGAAGGAATGATGAGCTGGAGGTGTCATTTAGTGATAGAGCACATGCTTAGCATGTGTGAGATCCTGAATTCAATCCCCAGCACTGAGAAAAAAAAAAAGGGATGATAAATAATTCAGAAAAGTGGTCACCTCTGTGTGGGAGTAAATGGGTATGATTGGTAAGAGAACACAGCACAGCTATTTTTTATGTATGATATATTTATAATAAAAAGCATCAGTTTAAAGGCACTAAGGCTCATTTCTCCCTCCTCCCTAAGTATCATTGGGAATAAAATATTATTAACACTCACACACCATGCTAGTTCTTTGGTGAGATGAGATGTTAATCATAACATCTGCATTTGTGGCTATTAACCCTGGCCCACTTATTGATCCTCTCTGTGTTGTCTTGGTTTCCCAAATCTATAGAAAGAGAATAGTAGTAGTAGTACCTACTTTATAGGATGACTACTAAACAAGAGAATGCATGGGAAATGCTTAGCACAATTGCCCGACACCCAGGAGCCTACAGATGTCTGTTATTTTGTTCATACCATTGCCTCAGCTTGGAGCATTCCTTCCCACTCCCTCTGCCTACTCAGTGCTTCTCATTCAAGGATATCCAGTCCAGTTTCTGAAGATCCTCCCTCTCACCCAAGCCCATTTCCCCTTTTTAAAAATGCCAAACCTCTTGTTACCTGCACCATTTATAAGACATCTGCTATATATTTATTTATTCATTCAGCCAGCAAATCTTGCCAGGTACTAGGAATATAGAAACCAATAAAGCAGACATAGTCATTACCTTCATAGAGCTTATAGCCTGAAGGGAGAGGAATCAGGGGAGGGAGGGAGGGAGGGAGAGAGAGACAGACAGACAGACAGAGACAGAGAGAGAAGCAAAGACACAATTTACCTAGTCCTGCTGTACTAGGTGCTATTAGGGTAAAGTGTGGGATGTCTTCAGAACATGTCATAGAGAGACCTCACATAGACTGTACAGTCCAGAAAGAATTTTTTGGGGAAAGTGACATTCAAGGTGAGACCTAGACTTCTAATGTCACTATTAACAATAAATTTTTATTGAGGCTCTATAACCTAGATGCAAGTATCCCAAAAGAAACAAATAGCAGGAGGTAACGCATGTTAGATGTCAAATGAACCCAATGTGCAATATAATACAGATGTTTGGAGGAGGGCAATCGCAAAGGCCCTTCAGAAAGGTTTGCAAAAAATGTGAATTCTCAGCAGAAACTTAAGACAAGGGATGGGGAAAAGAAGCACTCTAGAAATGAGTATATGGGCACGGACCGAAAAGGCAAGACAGTTCAAACAGGTTGCTGAAATCAAGGAGTGAAGTGTGATAGGAATAAAAGAACAAGGGTTAACTCCTAGAGGGTCTTGCTTTATCTTAGGTGGAGTTTTCTTTTTGTATCATTGGCTTCTTTGAGGCTCTCACAAAAGCCTTGAATCCCTCCCCCCTCAAAATAAAAAAATGCATTTATAACATTGCATACAACTTAAAGAGTTCACAATTCCCTTGAACTCCCAGTTGGAAACAAATAACACTGAAAAGAATTGAGTAGAACAGTGGTAGGTTCTTGCCCAAGAGGATAAGGACTGTTGGCAGTTGAGAAACTACTGCAATATGAGATCATGCAAGCAGGAGCCCTTATCCATCCATGCTAAAGTGGTGGCTATAGGATTTCATTCATCAAGTAAACCAAAATTTATTTAGAGCTTACTCTGGGACAGGCCCTGTGCCTAGCATTGGGGACATGATGATAAGTAAGATAAGACCATTGCCTTCAGGGAACTCCAAGCTGGGCAAGATCAGGAAGAAAGGCAAGCTACAGAAGCAGAGGGGATGGCATCAGCCACAGGTCCTCTTACTTAGAACTTTCCACTGTCTGTTCCTTACAGAATTAAGTGAAGTCTTCAGTTTCATTCTCAAGGCCCTTCACAAAACTGTCACAACTTACCTTTCTGCTGTCACTTCCACTTAGGCCATCACCACCACTACTTCCCCCCCATCCCTACACACACACACACACACACACACACACACACACACGTGCACACGCGAACACGCGCATGCACATGTATCCTGCAGAGCAGCTATACTGGACTCTTGACTGTCTTCTGACCTTGTTTTCTACTTTCTGCCTCTGTTATGTCACTCTTTTCTCCCAGCTATACCTGGTCAAATTCCTACCATTCTTCAAGGCCCATTTGACACACTGCCTTCCGTGAAGCTTTGTTTGACCTCGCTGTTCATTTTGCCCTGAGTTACTGTGTGGACCTCTTTCTCCCCAGTACTCAGCACTCAAGAGGGCAGAGGTATTGTTTCTTCATCCTCCTATCTCAGGAGTACCCAGTGCCTGTAATGATAAGTACTTACTGTATATGCTAAATGCAGTGGCCAGAGCCTGGGGAGACGACGGAGGAGTCACCAGCAAAGGCTTGGTAGTTGGAATCAGGAAAGGCAAACTAGACACGCCTTCATGGAAACAATCCCCCTTGGGAAACAAGGGTATCCCAAGGACACATCCCATGCTCAGTAAATATGAGTTTAAAATATGGGACATTCACACTCAGACAGCTTTGGAATTTGTCCTGTTTGTGATAGTGTTGTCCACAAGGAGAACAGATAGAACTCGAGTTTCAGACTCTAGGCACAGACTTCACAGTTCTTCTGGATTATTATTACTAATAAATTAAGAAAAGAGCTTTCTTATAAATGTTAAAAGCCTAAATCATAGTTGCAAATGTTAGTCACTGGAGTAACTCTTGCTTTTAATTCTTTAACAATTGCGGGTCAAACCCTAGTGTATCATTATCCCACTTTTGTTTGCACTATCAAAATACCCAAGACGTGGCCAAAGACAACTGAATTCTTTGGCTTGGCCACATTTGCCACATGACGAATATGCACTTCCCTCTGGAGTAGGAAGGGATACGGGTGCTTTCCAGCCCAGCCATGGCATGCAGTCATCCGTGACTGAGGTGCGCTGGATGGAGGACAAGGTCCTGAACTGATGGAACCCACTCACCAGGGCAATGCCAATTCCCAGCAAGTCCGGCATTTCCCCAACTTTGCCGAAGAGTAGCTGGGGACCGCGGCCCCTAGCGCAGTGGTTTCCCTCGACGCGCGCTTTCAGCCCCTAGAGATCCCAAGCCCTCTTAAGCGACCGAAGCGCCCTCCCGCGCCTCCGGCCCCGCCCCGCCCCGCCCCGCCCCGCCCGGCCGGCTCGCGGGGACCCGGGAGACGCAGGTCTGATTGGCCGAGCGCGGCGGGGGCGGGGCCTGCGCGACCAGGAGGTCGGACGCAAAGGCGCTGCGTGTGTGCTGCGCTCCCGGGAGCCGTGGGTGCAGCGTGCGACCCGAGGCCAGGTGGGACCGCTCCGGCCTCCTCAGGATGACGACGCGCTGGGCGAGCCGTCGCCGCGCGGCGGGGCTCCTCATGTTGCTCCTCCGCTGCTTCGGGCTTGCGGAGCCGTCGGACCGCTCAGGTAACCGCGTCCGCCCGTCCGGGCCTCGACGCCGCAGCTCACCGACTTCCTCTGCTGCGCCCCCGGCTCCCGTCACCGTCGCCTTGCTCCGGGGGCCTGGAGGTGGACATCTGGAACCGACGAGGAAGTCTGACCGAGGGGAAGTCTGCCTTCCCGTTGCCCTCGGGGGCCGGAAGGAGGGCGCGGTGGGGTGTGGGAGCGCAAGGCCTGTGTGGTGCCCGGGGAACCGGTCTGCCAAAAGCAGGCCCGCAGCCTGTGCTGGGATGGTCCTCTGCCCGCTCCTCCTTGGCATCCCCTGGGGCTCCCTGTTTCCCCCTGCATCCTACCTTGCCTGTTCTCCTGTTCTCAACTCTCTCTCGCCCTCTGGTCCCTTGGCCCCTCAGTAGCCTAGGATTCCCAGTGATTTTCTGACATCACCGTTCTACAGTGCACCTACAAGAGATATGTTAAGATGCCCTCCCCACCACCTAGAGCAACAATCCTTCCTTCTGATTGGGTCATCAACACTAAATGACACCCCCCCCCCGGAAGCGCATGTTGCTTGCTTGGGGACCCAGGGCCTCTCAGTGCAGAACAGATGCCCTTTGCTAATGCTCAGGGTGGTGCAAGCCCCCCGTCCCCCACAACCTACTTGGCAGCAACTATATTTTGCTTTTACTTTCTTTTTGCCTTGGCAAAAGGTGTGTCTTGGACTTTGCTTTATGTTCAATCTGCATAATGGGCAGTCCCTGCTCCCCCCCAACCACTTCTGTTGTTTTGCCTGTATAAGGAAGGAAAAGTTGGTCAAAGGCAGTTTTTGAAAAACGTTAAGTTGATGGCTTTTACTTTCTCTGTAGCTCAGCTGAGTGATGGAAAGAATTGCTCCAAGTGTGGGTGTCATTATCCTGTCTACATCAAGGCTCTTTTAATGGGCCCTGCTCTGACTCACTCCTTCCATTCTCCTTTCACCCTCTGTCCCGGGAACTACCAAAAGAGACAGTACTGGTAAAATTTATTAATGTGAGATTTTGATTCTGCCTGCCCCACCATCCAAGGAGAGACATCTCACTGCTGCAGCTTACTACAGTGAAAGTACACTAACCTTTCAATCGCTTATCTCTTGGTTTACATCTCCCTCTGCCTTAGTTCTATTTTGTTTCCTTCACAAATTTAATTTTCTTTTAAATTCTCATAGTCTCTACAGCCCTGGTTCTGTCTCATTGATCCAAAGCAAAGAGCCCCAGGCTTAACTTTATTCTTGTTGCACTAGGTCCCCACACATATTTGTTGCCCTGCTTCCTTCCTTGCTCCTAGCAGCTGCCCTGGGCAGCTTTCTCTCATCTTCAGACCAGACTTGTGGCCTTATTAGGGGAATCACTGGAATTTTGAACACCTAGTCATTTGTGGTAGCTTGTTTGGCAGAGTGTCAGCATCACTCTGCTAGTAATGGCATGTACCTTGTCATGTACACAGCTAGGCTTGGCTAGGTAGTCTTGATCACCCAAATGCTGAAGGAGTGCCTCTGTGTCTTTGGGGAGAAGCCAAATGCCTAGTTTACTTTTTTGCCTTCTTGGAGAGCTAACAGCTTGAAGTGAATGGATCTTTCCAGGACTTCTGAGGTTCTTACTAGTCCACAGCATCCAATCTGGGCTTAATGGCTTTCTGACTCCCACTGCATAGCTCTGGACCCAGTGTCGCTTCATGACCTGGTTTTGACCCAGCAAACCAGGCTTCTAATTGTCTCCTTCTGCACCTGTACATTCTGTACACTTAGCAGAGACCACAAAATGCTTGACAGACTAAGTTGCAGAAGTTCTTCTTAATTTCACAGTCTTTATCTTTCCCATTTTCCTAGCCACTTCTCTTCTCTCCATTGGTCTGTGATTATAAAATGTCAATATCTGGCTTCTCTTATGGAATGAATGGGTAGAGCTCTTGGATCTAGGGCTTATAAGACGGGACTTATTTAGTGATTAGACAAAAAGAAAACACAGAAAGAGATGGTTTTCACTTGATATAAAAATACTAAAAATTCACTTTCAACGTATGAAAACGCTACTCAGACGTTTTCTCTCAAACACCACTGTAGTATTTGTAGAAAATGAATTGTATAAAAAGTGCTTCTAGACAGGCATGGTGACTTATGCCTATAATTGCAGCTACTTGGGAGGCAGAGGCAGGAGGAGCCATAGTTTCAGCCCAGCCCATGGAAAAAAAAGAAAAAGAAAAATTAGCAAGACCCCCATCTCAAGAAATTAACCAGGCAAAGTTTTACATATCTATAATCCCAGCTTCTGGGGAGGCATAGATAGGAGGATCATGGTGTGAGACTGGCCTGAAAACATGACACTCTATCTGAAAAAACAGCAACAACAACAACAACAACAACAAAACCATAAAGCAAAAAGGGCTAGCCATGGCTCAAGTGGTAGAGCACTTGCCTAGCAAGCACAAGACTCTGAGTTAAACCTCAGTATTGCAAACAAAGCACTGCCTCAAAGAGACATCAACCTCTGCCTTTTAGATTTGTTCCAATCTTGTATTTGGAAGAAGACATGAAAACCCTATTGAAGACTGATGTAAAGTTGTAGCATGAACAAGATACAATATAAGCTATCAATAAAGATTCCACTTTATAAATTGCTCTGTAATTATCTTTTCAAATTGTGATGCATTTCTAAAATTGCTTATATACACTTATACAACATATTTTCTAAGTAAGGAATTATTTTTCTAGTTTCTCAGTCCTTCCCACTCTTCAACCTATTATCCCCACAGGGTCACAAGACTGAGGCAAACTAAACAGTCCTTGCTGAGGTAAAGAGACATACAGAAAAACATGAGAGAACAAAACTCTCCCTAGCTAGTGTTTTATGTATGAATGCTTATACATATGTACATTACATGTGAAGGTTAGTAACAAGTTCCCTTGAATTGTCTTAATGAGAAATATCTATCACTTAATGAGGAATGTCAAACACTGGTTTTGATACATACTTGGTTCAAACACAGGTTTAGACAGAGGCAAGTGTCTACATTCAGAGATGTTGCAATTTGTTAAGACTTGGCAGCTGTTTCTTAACATTGCTATTCCATGCTACTCCACACCTCTTCTGCACTCTAGTTCCTACCAAGTTGTTAAGGCCACAGGTGTCCTGGAAGCAACACATGTAGAAAATGAGAAGAAAATGAAAGTTTATTCTCTTCCAAAGAGTGTTTATAAAACAGAACTGTCACCTAACTGCACATGTCCAACACAAGAGAAATTAAAATGATCTCAGATGCCACCTGCGGTAGCATGACATAAATTTGTGGACAATGGTTCAAGAGCAATATGCAATGACTTTAGCAAAAGCTAGTAAAACCTCAAGGCTACGGACACTGTTATCTAATGGAAGCATAGCTTGTTATGTCTGGAAGTAGCTTGTATATACTCCACTGCTTTCATCCAACATGTAGAGATAAGAAGACTGAGAGATTAAGTGGCTTCCATAATTTCTCCTAGTTAACTGGTAGCAAAGGTGGGTCATTAATCTGGGACCCCTAATATCTTGTTCCATGGCTCTTTCCACTGTATTAAGACCTGCACATAATCCATTAGATTCTATAAAGGCAGCTTGAAAAGTATTGAACTCCAAATTGTAGAGGAAGGCAAAGCTGCTGCTGCCTGGGTTACCTGTTTGGGATCAAGGGTCACAGAACAAAGTGTCAGGGAAAGAGCAAAGACTACAGGGCAGGAGAGAGGAAGTTTCTAAGAAGAGGAGCAGACTTCTTTTTTTCTGCTGTAGTTCCTGATGCTTTGGAACATAAGAATTATTTTGGAGCGGTGAGAGAGAATAGTTTGGGAAAGGGGTAGATCAGGGGCTGAGTGGCTATTAAAAATGTGAGAGAGGACATTAGAGAAATTAGAGTGGTTGTCTTATAAGATAGTACATTTCCCATTTCTATTGACTATCCTCCTACCTCTATGACCATCAAAGAAAGAATGGCGGGAGATGTCCAAGAAGAAAGAGTGAGGGATGAATGTTGCTTTACCAAATGCACCTAGCTGTAACCCTATACAATGTTTTAAATTCAAATTCGAAAGCAGAAATAATTTCAGTCTCTAAATCTTTTTTGTTATTGTTTCCCTTCTCAATGCTGGTATTTAAAACAACAACAAAAACCCATCCAGAATTCCAACTTCAGTCAGATTTTATTTTATATTTATTGTGAATATGGTGAAATTTCCCCTCAAGTTGCCAGTCCCTGGTATGAGGATTTTAAACTCTAAAACCTGTGAGTTATTGTTAGAAAAAGTGGCATCAAAATGAAAGTGCCTTTTGGGAACCAAACTTTTTCGGGTCCTTCTGCTGATCTCTGGTTCATTGGCGATGATTGTTTAAGCTTGTCTAAAATATTTCAGATTTTCTTTCATTGATGTGATGATCTGTGCTGTAACTTTAAAAATAGTTGTCTTTGTAAAATAACTGGGCAAATTGTTCAATTATAGTTTATTATAACAGATGTGAATGCTGTTTCTCATACTCAGGTGTAAAAGATAATGCATTACTTTATTTTCAGAAAATCAAATGAAATTTTATTCTGAGTTCCCTTCCACTAAGTTGGCAGAATTTCAAATTCTGTCATTGTTGGGGTCTTCTCCAGCTCAGTCAGAGTGGCAGGAGAATGCATGGGGAGATCTGTTCTTTAGTCAGTAGCATACACTGGTTCCTTCTCAGTTTCTTATTGTGAAAACATGCTGGATCTTGAATCTGGTGGTCCAGGTGATTCTTGGAGCTCTGGGGCCAGTGTCTATAGATAATCCACACAGTGAATCCCCCCAGTCTCTCCCCAGGTCCGCTCATCCTCCTGAAAGTGCTACAGTGGAGCCGGCCACAGGTTCCCCTTTCCTCAGAACCCAGACCTCTAGTTCCTCTTATTCTACCTTTGCCTTCTCAGAAGTCTCCCCATGTCCAATTAGACACCTCAATGAGTCAGGCTTCCATAAAAGATCCAGGGAAAGTGAACAAAGCAAATTCTCATTTTGACTGATTTGTCCTGAGGCAGGGAAGCACAGAAGCAGCGCTTCATACTCAGGTCAGGGGGAAGGAGCATAAAGTGAGAAGAAAGCATTGACTTCTTATGTAATAATTACCCCTGCCTTGGTGGCTAAAGTGTAAGCAAGAGAGAGTATGGTTCAAAAGAGGTTCAGTTTACCTGTCTAAGTAAGATGAAAACTAAGGAGCTTCTTTATCTTATTAAACAATGGACGTGTCTTTCATAGAGTATCAAAAATAAATATGCATACTACTGTCAGTGTTTTACCGAGAGTATTGGCTCATTTCATCTTCACATCCACAGTAGGAAGTAGATGAATGTTACAAATGGGAAAGCAAAAGCGCAAATGTTAAGTGGTTTGCCTAGAGGTAGAATATGAGCCCAGGCAGACTGGCTCCAGAGCCCATGTTCTTACTGTACACTGTGCTGCCTTTCTGGCCTTCACTGTCCTCCTTCCTTGTATAGGACATTACAGTGTATCAAGTTCTGAGGGTGGGAGCAGTCTCAGAGGTGTTCAGACTCCCCTCAGCAAGCAAGGAAGGAAGTACATTGACCACATAATTCAGAATCCTGAAATGTCTTCCTTTACTGCCTGTCTTGACCTAGGTAATGATCCATTCACCATCGTCAATGAAAACACAGGCAAATGCATCAAACCACTGAATACCTGGATAGTAGCAACAGATTGTGATGAAACTAAAGACATGTTATGGAAGTGGGTATCCCAGCACCGGCTCTTTCATTTGCAATCCCAGAAGTGCCTTGGCCTAGATATTACCAAATCCGTGGATTCCTTGAGGATGTTCAGCTGTGATTCTGATGCCATGCTGTGGTGGAAATGTGAGCATCACTCTCTATATAGTGCTGCCCAGTACAGGTTGGCTCTGGAGGGTGGACATGCCATAGCCAGTTCAAATACATCTGATGTCTGGAGGAAGGGAGGCTCCAAGGAAAGCCTTTGTGATCAGCCATACTATGGTGAGTATTGGAGAGGAACTTTGACGTACTTGCTGTAGTTACTTGTTAAATTTGGTATTGAACATGCACAATGAGTAAAAATAAAGCCATGTACGGGTAAGCGAGCAGGGACTGTGTAGTTACTTTGAGCTCCATTCTTACCACATACCTGTGATGTTAGTGGTATTTGCCCCATCTCCACCCCTTCATAGACAGAGGTAAGAGAGGTTAAATGCCTGTCAGAGGTCACCCAGCCATGTTGTGGAAAACCTGGGATTCAAAATCTGATTCCTGCGCATATTTACCTCCTATGATGACATCTGAACCCTAGGAGAAAGGAAACATTAGAATACAGACTAAAGGATAAGTGATCTAATGATTATATCCTGGATTTTAAAAAGAGGAGGAAAAAAAGAAATGTATTTTTCCTTGCTTAGCAAATTTGATATAATGGAACATTTAAAAAGTCTCATGTAGTTTTTTTTATTTTTACTTTTTATATCATACATTGGATTCTGTATTTATGGCTCAACATTTTAAGAGTGGACTTTTTCTTGGTTGCTTCCAAAAATAAGTGTATGAATATTGCCATAACCTCTGCTCTGAGTCTAGTAACTGGATTGCAATGTATCTCCAAGTTTAAAAAGAATGAGTAGATGTGTTTTTAAACCACTAAATGTAATTAGCTATCACCCAAGCATACCTTTTTCCATTAAGTTGCCCAAAATCACATCAAATGTTGAGATATAGATATAGATATATAAAATTAGCTAAGTCCTATTGTCTTACTCTTGTCTTTATTTTAAAAACTTACATTGATTTGCAGAAGTTTTCCTTTTCCTTAAAGTTCATTTAAGCTAAATCTGGCTACAGACTCAGGATAGCAGCTTTGTTTCCATCCTTTCCATAATCTGCACACATTTCTCTTCTGAGGGACTCTTTTTCTTTTTTTTTTTTTTTTGCAGTACTGGGCTTGAACTCAGGGCCTACACCTTGAGTCACTCTACCAGTCTTTTTTTTGTGATGGGTTTTTTCGAGATAGACTCTCTTGAACTATTTGTCTGGGCTGGCTTCAAACTGCAATTCTTCTGATCTGTGCCTCCTGAATGCTTGGATGATAGGCGTGAGCCACCGGTGCCCAGCTGGCTGGGACCCTCTATTTCTTAGTGGAAATCCAGAAAATCTTCTGAAAAAGGTCTGGTTCTACAACTATTGAAGAAACATTAAAACTTAGAGTTGGCCTTTGAATAACCGGACAAATCTGTTTTTGTCAGCTAGTTTCCTCCTAAACTTAAAAGGGCTTAAATTTAAAGCAGTTACTTTCTGAATACTACTTAGTGGCAAACAAATTTTGTGCTGTAAAAGCCTCTCTCTAACTTGATAACTAAGAGAAAACATGGAACCTAACAAAATGGCTTTGGAATTTGTTGCTTTGTATTTGTTGAGAGATCAGAAATGATTGTTTTCTTTGCAGAGGTTCTACTGCCCCCAATTCTTTTGAGGCTATAGATGCAATCTTAAACTCCCCCAGTTCCCAAAGTATAGCTTTATTTCAGTATAGCTTTTTGGTTTTTTATCCTATTTGTTTTATTTATACATTTATAGTGTTCTTCTGGAAAGGGGTCCATGGGCTTCACACAGGTGCCAAAGTGATCAGTGGAACAAAAAAAAGTCTAAGAACCTTTTTCTGTATAAGGCTAAGACAGCTGGATAGACCCAGCACAGCGCAAGTCTCTTGACCTTTCCACATACAATATTTGAAATGCTAACTTTTTTTAAAAGGCACATATACTTCTGTCTAGTCAAGATGTGCTTCAAATTTTCATTTGCACAGAAGCCAAGGCCAAAGCTGCCACCCTTTCTCTGTCTCTCTCTAGGTGACTGGCATCATCCAGTTCCTAATGTCAGAAATGTATAAGCCTCCTTAAGTTATCCTGCTTTCCTTTCCTACCATTCAAATGTAATCAGTTATGACATCCTAGCTATTTTAAATTTAGGTAAGTCCCTTCCTGCTCTTAGGTTAGGGGCTTCTCACTTAAGTTAGGGACCTTCTCCAAGACTACTACTCTCTTTGTCTCCTAACTGTGGTCCCTGCCTCACCCCCATCTCTCTGTGTAGAGATGTGGAAAGTAAGATACCTGAGTCCCAATAAAATGAAGTCCAAGGTGACCAACATATTATAGCAAAACTCGGGGTCAAACCAGGTTTCCATTCCCCAAATAATAATACATTTATTTCTCCTTTCTCAGAGAAAGTTTTAATTGTTTAGAGTTTATGAAGGAATTGCCTTTGACTAGCACTTAGATAAGCATCATATCATAAAATACCTTGATCTGACTAGTGCTCTTCAAACATGAATGTTTGGTGAGTCATGCAGAGGAATGGCCTATTGGTGGAGAAGTAGCTGTAGAACTGAGCTTTGGGGGAACTCTTAGAAGTCTCCCAACTTCTTTAACCATTGAGCTATTTTGTCTCATGTTATATTCATTTTCCGTGTAAGCACCTCACCTGACAATTTATGTCTCTTACATAATAAGTTGTTGTTTAAGGATGGGCAGGGGGAGGCTGATGAGGTAGCTCAGTGGTAGAGTTCTTGCCTAACATGCACATGGCCTTGGGTTCAAGGAAAGGAAGGAAGGGAGGGAAGGAAAGAAGGAAATGAAGGGAAGAAAGTTCAGAGGATTCAACGGGTCCAGCAACAGCAAAGGATGTGTGGGAATAAAGCTCTTTAGTGAACAGCGAGTGTCATTTAGCTGCCTCCATCATAGTTATTGTTTGCTAGTCATCTTCAAAGCATTTTGTGACCGAGAGAGTTTTTTTTTTGTTTTTTGGATGAAGCCTTGCTTTGAACTAGGACACATAACTTGAAACCTACGAAGGCAGCCAGTGGTATCAAAGTTGTCCTTGTGTGTTAAGGACTCTAATCAGAGTTGTTCTTGTCCTTGTGGCTCACAGCTGAGCCATCAGATGTTTCACTTAACTACGCCACAAAAAATGGGGATTTCAAAAACAAGTATAGTGCTTGCTCTACTAATCTCTTGGGTTTATGGTAAGGAACAAGTAGGAATGTATATGAAGGCTCTTTGTATTACAAAATAAAAGGTTCTAGGAAGAAAATCATACCCTGATGGTCCTACCAGTCAGTCATTGTGTTCAGGGACTGTCCTCTTGTTGTAACAGGAAAGGGAAATCAGTCATGTGCTGTTGGGAGTTTTTCAGTGGTCAAAACCAAATGAGCAGAATTCTTATAAAACGTAAGGGCACTTATGTACTTCTTTAATAGAAGTACTCTGTTCAAAGCCATTTAAATGACATAGGAAAACTAAAACAATGGTCCTTAAAAGATTGTTTGCAAAGAAAATCATCTAGATTATTCTTAATCCTTTTGTACTGCTGTTTAATACATTCCAAACTGTTAATTCATTCCAAACTGCTTAAGTCCCACACTTCAGTCAGATGAACACTTGAGAATGAAAAAGGATGTAGAATCAAATACTGTCTTAAGCACACTTTTAAGCAAATCTGTGAGACATTTTGAGGGACCCTAATAGTCTGGTAATGGTTGGTGAAATTTGATGAGTATGCTTTACCTAATAGCCATTATTGGATCTGATAGTAACCAGGGTTTTAAATAAATTGAGTATGTAGAAAAAGGTGACAGAAATAGACACAGGGTTAGCTGGCCCATAAAAACACTTTTTTCGAGAGAACTATTATTGACCTAAGTATTGAGCATGTCCTCCATCATTTCCAGGCATCTGTGCATTTGGAATCATTTTTCAGTGCCTCTCTTGGTACCAGAGAAAATGATTAAAATAAAAAAATAGATGTGCTACCTTACTTACTGATCCTAGCTACTCCTATGACTGCCCTCTTGAAGTCAGTTCTTTTTCTGTAACCTGAATTACTATGCCTTGAACCTCCCTAAGAATCTATTCAGGAATACAGCAGCTCTTCCTCTTACTTCCTCAAAATCCAGTCTCAATTCCATTATGCAATCGGGCTATTTGTCCGTGTCTCTAAATACATAGGTGTTCCAAAGTCCACACACATCTTCAGTGATGCCATCTTATTTTTCTGGCCCCATACTTACTGAAGAAAAGTGAAGTGAATTTAATCTCAGTCAGTCAAGGTATGCTTTACGATGAAGCACTTTCTCTTCCACCACAGTGGAATAAGTTGATTCTTACTTGATCAAGCCAGGATCTTTTAGCACTTTCTCATACCACAATAAAAGAAGCTTTACATGGTTTGTCTTGTCAAATCCTCATGAACAACCCTTGAGGTAAATACTGTCATTCCAAATTTGCAAATGTAAAAACTAAGCTTGTCCACAGCCACACAGGGTTCCCCAGAACTCAGGTCTAGACTGTTTGTTTTCCACACTATGAAGTCTTCTCAGGTATTCTCATACATAAAAGCAATGCTCTTACTTTAAAACAATTCTAAAGTTAGATAACTGAAGGTGATTCTCCAGTTTTTAACTCTCCTGTACTTCTTCCCTGACCCACAGAGATATATACCAGAGATGGGAACTCCTATGGAAGACCTTGTGAATTTCCATTCTTAATTGATGGGATGTGGCATCATGATTGCATCATTGATGAAGAACATAGTGAGCCATGGTGTGCCACCACCTTAAATTATAAATATGATCAAAAGTGGGGTATCTGCTTAAAACCAGGTATGGTGAACTTTATGTCTGGAAAGAAGAGAGTGCTATGTATATGAGGCAAAAGAGTGAAGGAAGAATTCAAGATGACTCAAAATGTTCACAAAAATAGCATCCTAGATATGCAGTTTATGCTTGGAGGAAGAGAGAGAAATATTTGAATTTGCTTTCAGAAGCAGGTTAAGAAGAGAACCAAGACAGCTTGCATCATGGAAGACAGGAGGAGGGGAGTGGTTGGATAGCATAGATACCTCAGGGAGAATTAGTGGAAAAGGTGTGAGCAGATAGGAAATTGTAGTTTCAGAAGACTAGTAGGTAGCTGGGCACTGGTGAGTCATGCCTGTAATCCTAGCTACTCAAGAGGCAGAGATCAGGAGGATCATGGTTTGAAGCCAGCCCAGCCAAATAGCTCACAAAACCCTATCTCAAAAACAACCCATCACAAAAAAAGGGCTGGTGGAGTGGCTCAAGGTGTAGACCCTGCGTTCAAGCCCCAGTACTGCAAAAAAAAAAAAAAAAGACTAGTAGGATAAAGGAGAAGAAACTGAGTTATTGTGGACTGAAGCATAAACAGAAGAAAGTTAATCTTAATAGGTAGTTAGAGGGGGGAAATAGGTTGAAAAAACACTTTTAAGATGGTGAAGACTGGGGTGTTAATGGGGCTCAAGCTATAGAGCACCTGCCTTCCAAACATGAAGCCCTAAGTGCAAACTCCAGTACTGCCAAACAAACGAAAAAAACAGAAAATATATAGTGAGAACTTAAATATGTTTGTGGCCTAAAGCCAAGAGTGAGAAAGAAAGGAGACAAATATATTTTGCCCTCTCCAAATTGATGTTATTATTTCCTCTGCTATTTCCTGTGTGTTGATCTATCTAGTTGCTTCTTACTAGAAGCAAACTATTCAGAGTGTACTAAAGAATTCACTGTTCCTTATGAAGAGAGGAAAAGATTCAAGTAATAGCTGTGTCATTATCTGGTATATAATTGAGACACAGTTTCTTACCAATTAGGTGAGAGTTACAAAGGATCACAGCTCCTGATGTGATAGGTGCCTCGTAAATATTACTTAATGGGCAATAGATGAAAGAACCTATAGAAAAATTAAAGATCTTCAGACCTAAATGATACAGCTAATACTTAAACAGACCTGTCAGGTGTAGGCACTGTTCTAAGCCATCAACATTATTAAATAACTCAGTCCCACAGCATCTTAAAGATAGGAACCATGATTGTCCCTATTTCAGATGAGCATAGGGAGGCACAGGTAAGTTACATAACTAATAAATATTAGGTCACAAAGTTAATAAATACCAGAGTTAGGATTCAAACCCAGGAAATCTGCCATGAAGATCTTGCCCCACATAGCTACAATACCGTCTCATTGCGTAGCCAGTCTGGTGGCATTAGTATGCTCATCCCTCCATGAGGGAATTTCAGCTTCAAACTACAGAGTTCTGAGCTACTTGAAGAGGTTAGACTGGGCCAATGGTTCTCAAACTTCAGAGTGCAACAGGAACACTTCAAGGGTTTATTAGAACACTGATTGTTAGGGCCCACTTCTAGAGATTCTGATTCAGTAGGTTTGGGATGAAGTACAAAAATTAGTTGTTTAACAAGTTCCTAGGTAGTGCTGATGATGCTGGACAGGGGCCACACTTTGAGAATTCCTTGTGTTGGTCAAAGACCAGGCTTTTCAATGCCTGCATTCTGCTGAAATGTAGAAAAGCCAATGTTTGCTTCAGCTGTAATTGGTAATGAGGTCAACCTTGTAACTTTCACTTATCTCTTATTGTAATTTGAGTCAGAAATTTCCTAGAGGTTATTAGTGCAAGCCCTTGTTTCACAGGTGAGACGAAGCAGGTCCAGGTTGATGGAATGACCTATCAGGGTCAGACCACATTCAAGTGGAGCTGAATGGAGAGCCCAGAATTCTTGATGATCATTTACCCCACTCTGCCTCAATGCTGTGACTGAAATGTGTCTTTAGGGTCTCTAGCCTCTTTTAGGTAGCGGAGTGTGTTTGTGTGTATTAATGCTTCATCAGCCTCCCAGAGTTACATTTTATGGACGAAGCAAGGTTGTGAGTTTCTCAAACCTGAGGACTCCTAAACCATGGAAGTGGTGTTATATCGCAAACACATTGCCATCCCATTGGAAGCTTCTGAATTTACAAGCAGAATACCTCAGTGGTAATAATAACTGTGCCTGCAAATTCACTCTATTTTGTCTTCACCAAATGTCATGATCTTTGTTGCTTTTTGCACCATAGAAAAGTAGCTGAAAAAAAAAAAGTGTGTCATTCAGGAAAACCACAGAAGAGATCAGTGCTCTGATTACAGCTCTGCCACAAACATCTGTAAGGTCTTTGCTTACCTTTGTGAAATGAGAGCATTCAACAGGAGGATCTCCCAGGTGCCTTCCTGGCATATAGATTCATTAGTCTACCATCTGATATATAACTGGTTATGGAAAGCCCTTTGGAAACCCCCTGAATGGAACCTGGGACACATGTGACACAGCCTATACTGGTTTTTCCCTCTTGTTGGGAGCATGTGAGAAACTCTGAGAATATTTTAGCCAGTTGTCTCAAGACTTACATAACTCATTCACAACAAAGCTTGAAGGTTCTGGGAACCTACTTACATATCTGTTAAAGAACACGCTATGTACATTCTATGTTATGTGTTGTACATTCAGGTTTGTGTACCTATATGTGTACACAATACATGCAAATATAATGTGAATTACCTAACACTAATTATATCCTATATTCAATCATTCAGTAAAGTATTAAAGAGCAACTTGAACTTAGTTTCTGAAATGTGGTAATCATTGTACTCTATATCTTAGCCATGTATACACATACGGTGGTTTCTCTGAAGCCTGCGGAGAAACCCTCTGCACCATCTTCAAATGAGCTTGTTCTCTGTTCACTCAGTGTTCTACACTGTACACATGGAGACTCCTTCAAGGCAGAGGACACCCAGGGGCAGGGGTGCAAATGTGGTATTATAGTTGACAGGATAAAGGGAGAATAGAAACTTTAATCTGTTGAGTCATTTGGTGTCCTCTGGCTTCAATTTCATTGTGTAACCAGAGGATCAAAATATGGTTTAAACAAGCAATGGCAGCCTCCATTTTGGCTATGTGAATTAAAGTGTAGTATTTGTAAGCATTTTAAGTAATAACAAGCATCATGTGCTTATTTTATAATCACTTACCTTTTTATCCACAGAAAATGGCTGTGAAGGTAATTGGGAAAAGAATGAGCAGACTGGAAGTTGCTACCAATTTAATACTCAGGCAGCTATTTCATGGAAAGAAGCTTATGTTTCCTGTCAGAACCAAGGAGCTGACTTGCTTAGCATCAGCAGTGCAGCTGAATTAACTTATCTTACAGGTGGGCTTAACTTGCATGTGGCAGAGCACATGGCTGAAATTGTAAAAGTGATTTCCTCTACTTTTCATATGCAGTGTGTTGTTTCTATATATCTTTTATAGCTTCTCTTGGGATTTAAACCTCAGCACTGAAACCCACAGTACTGGATGTAAACATACTTTGTGTGTTGAAATAGCCTCCTGTGGTGGAGCTCAAGACAGATTGATGTTTAGAAAACAAGTTAAAGTAGCAAGATTAAGTTGCTGCTTTCATTCTGAAAGAAAGTCTTTTAAAAAGTGAACTTTACACTCTTTGAACATGAATAAGTGGAGAATTCAAAGAAGATAAAACATATGGCTGGGTCATACCAGGTGGCCATAGTAGTAAGTCCTCACATTTGAGTGAAGAACAGTCTTCAGGGGCAAGGACAACTTTAACAAATCTCAGAGTGGGTTTAAGATGTGGATATGTAGAGGGGATAGGATTGTGGGGCTTTTTTGTTTATAGGGTAGTAGTGGGAATTTAAAATATTTTTAATTTTGAAAATTTAAACTATATAGGTAAGAGCAGAAAATAAACTAAAAGAGACCATCTATTCTTTCATATGGATTCTAGGATTACTTTATTAATTTCAGTGAAAACCCCTGTGGAGACTTTGGAATTATTTTGAAGTATAGGTTAATTAGGAAGGCATTACTGTCTCTCTCTACATTAATTCTTCTCATCCATGAAAATAGTTTGCCTTTCTATTTATTTAGAACTTCTTCTATGTACTAAGTAAAATTTTATAACTATCCCCAAAAGATTTTTGCATATGCCTTAAAAGAAAGTTTATAAACAGAAAATTTTATCTCATTTTCAAAAATCAAGAAACCTAAGTTCTGGGTCCATAATGATTTGTTCTTTGCATGAAAAAAAATAGTAATATATGATGGTAATGATGTTCCAGACTACTGAATGCTTTTCATACACTATTTCATTTAATCCCGTTTAACAACTCTATGACATAGGTGCTGTTATTATTTTCATTTTGCATATGAGGAATGTGAGGCTCAGAGAGGAAGTATAACTCACAAGTAATAAGCACAGCCTGAATTTGAACAGTCTGATGTGAAAAAAAGTTGTATCAGGCACGTACCTGTATTCGCTTTTGTAAGACTGCAAGTTCTTTGCAGGCAGAAATTTTTTTTTTTTTTTTTTTTTTTTTTTTTTTTTTGAGGCACAGGGGTTTGAACTTAGGGCCTCACGCTTGCTGGGCAGGAGCTTTTACTGCTTGAGCCACTCTGCCAGCCCTTTTTTTGTGACGTGTTTTTTTTTTTTTTGAGATAGGGTCGCATGAACTATTTTGCCTGGTCTGGCTTCAACTGTAATCCTCCTGATCTCTGCCTCCCGAGTAGCTAGGATTACAAATGTGAGCCACTAGCACCCAGCTACTATTGTACAAAATTTTAAGCATTATTTATCTACAGAAAACAATTTTCTACTTAAACAGAAAATATTAAGTATTTCAGGCAGATCCTATCACACTATTCTATAATTAGTATAAATATTTGATAAATGCTAACTATAAGCAAGGCTTCTTCTCCAAAGAAGCCAGTCATCATCACAACCTCACAAACATTTTCATCACCAGATTAGGAAAGTGATGCTTAGAAATGATATATCCAATGTCACATGGCAAAGAAGTACCAGAATTGGGATTTAAATTTAACATAGACATCTACAGAACGCTTACATTTTTTACTGTACTATTACTCCTCTCACATTTTCTTTTCTTTCCTTTCCTTTTTTCTCCTCTCCTTTCCTTTCTTTCTTTCACAGGATCTCTCTATATAAGCCAAGCTGGCTTCAAACTTGTGATCCTCTTGCCTCAGCCTCCTGAGTGCTGGGATTACAGGTATGTGTCACCACACCTGGGCTTTATTTATTTATTGTTGTTGTTGTTTGTGATACTGGGTATCAAACCTAGGGCCTCACACATGCTGGGCAAATGCTCCACAACTTGTTACTCACTTCCCCTCTTTGTTTTTTTTATTTATTTGTTTTGTTCTTTGCTTTTCCTATACTGAGGTTTGAACTCAGGGCTTCTCACTTCCTAGGCAGGTGCTGTACCTTGAGCTAATCTGCCAGATCTTCTGTTTTTGTTTTCTGTTGTATTTTTGCTTTTTTTTTTTTCAGCACTGGAGTTTGAACTCATGACCTCACGCTTGCTAGGCAGGCACTCTATCACTTGACCCATTCTGCCAGCCCCTCACTTTTGTTTTTTTTGACAGAGTCCCATTCCTACTTTTGCCTGGGCTGGCCTCAAGTTTGGAATCCTTCTATCTCTGCCTCTCAAGTAACTGGGATTACAGTTATGCACTACCATACCCAGCTTCTTTATTTCTTTTTACCATTAAAAGTCCACTGATCCTTTTTCATGCTTTTTTGCTAAAGCTTTATTCAGACTCCTTTTTTTTTTTAACTTATTCCTTTATCCTTTTCCTGTATTGTTTGGAAATCTGCCAAGTAAGCCTAAAAAGGTAGCGTTTAGCAGTAGAAGTCTATTCCAGACTTCACTAAAGCCTTACAAAAAATATCTAGGAATGGTGCCATTAACTTTAAGTTTCATAAAATACTGACTTTTTAAAAGTGTTTACTTCAATGAAGGAGAAAAGTTCAAAGTGTGGCTCTGACCATTCTATAAAACACAATCTAATGACACAGTTGGAATAATCAATATTGCATGATTTTTTATGCATCAGTTTTCTTTAATCACTCATGAAATGACATAGTAAGTGGAGGGCCATATTGTCCTTTACCCCTGGCTAGACACTCTCCACCTTTTTTTGCATAGCAGTAATTTCAGAGGTATAACTGTTTCTAATGTTCCAAGTTCCTCTTTCCATATAAAAGGCATATCAATATATCTTATGATTGCTGGTTCCCCAAGACTCAAGAAAGCTGTGCTTTAACTTCTAAAACTCACAGTATCTAAAACTTGAAAACAGATCTCCATTAAGTTCCCCTTTACTGAAGGCTGCCATGTGTAAACATTGGAATAGGAATAATGGGACCAACAATTGTGCATCACACACAGACTTTGTAAGCCAAGTACTTGATTTCATTAGGGAAGTAAGAGTTGTACATATGCAGAACAAAATGGCGAATGTTATTCCAAACTTTGCATTTGGTAGTTAGTAGTTGAGTGAGACTACGGAATCTATTGCTAAAACAAAAAAGCAGAAGTAGCCCCCTTGGTAAGTCCCTCGCAGTCTAAAAGAGGTTTTTGGGTTTTTTTCCACTTTCTATTTGCTCTGCACCTATTTAGTTTTTGTTTTGATTTTAATAATACCTAGAGCCTACAAGTAATAGATCTGGTTTCTTTGCACTCATCAGATTTTGTTTGAGAATCAGATTTCCTATATCTCTGGCCTTCAGGATCTGTAACCAATTGATACACCTTAGAGCTACAGAAGAGGATCCAACAAATAGCACAGCAGGAATAGCACATTTCCATTCTTCCTAGTTTGCTTCCATACTTAAGGGATATTCATTTTCAGCTGCCTTGACCATTGCCCTATGGCTAGGACATTTCTAAGTTAGGGCCTTTCCTAACTGTGGCCTTTTGGATGCCACAGAAATCTCTGGCTCTTTCCAGTTGTATGACCATTGTCAGACTACAGGCTCTGACTGTGGGAAGAATAGTTAGGCCTGAACAGGGATGTCTGAGACAGTCATGAAATATCTACTTCACAATCTACATAATGGGAGAAAATGTTTGCAAACTGTATGTTTGACAAGGGGTTAATATCCAGAATTGATAAGAAACTCAAACAACTGAATAGCCAGAAAGTCCCAAACAGTTTGACTAAAAAATGAACTAAAGACCTAAATAGACAGTCCTCAAAACAAGACGTACAGCTGACCAACACATATATTTGAAAATGTTCAGGATCATTAACCATCAGGGAAATGCAAATCAAAGCCTCAATAAGGTATCCCTTCTTACCAATTATATTGGCTGTTATCAAAAAGATAAAAAATAACAAATGTTGGTAAGAATATAAAGAAAAGAAAACTCTTAGACACTCTTAGTGGGAATTTAAAGTAGTGCAGCCACTATGGTAAACAAAAGGGAGATTCCTCAAAATTTTAAAAATAGAACCATCCAGCAATCCCGTTACTTGGTATATGGCCAAAGGAAATGAAATCAGTATGTTGAAGATACATCTGCTCTTCCAGGTTTATTACAGCTCTATTCACAACAGCCAAGATATAGCATCAAATTTCCATCAACTGATAAGAATGGATAAGGAAAATGTATCTATACACAGTGGAATATCATTAAGCCATAAAAGAATGAAATTCTGTCATTTGTGACAACATGGAGAGCCTAAAGGACATTACATTAATTGAAATAAGTCAGGCACAGAAAGACAAATACAACTTGCTCTTACTCATATATGGAATCTAAAAAAGTTGATCTCATAGAAATTGAAAGTACAATACTGGTTGCTAAAAGCTAAGGAGAACAGGGAGAGGTGGAAAGGCAGGGTCCTATGGAAAGGTTGTTCAGTACATACAAAATTACTGTTCCATTGCACTATAGAGTGATTATAGTTGAAAACAATCCATTGTATATTTAAAAATAGCTAGAGAGGATTTGGGGTATTCATCACAAAGAAAAGATACATGTTTACGGTGAAGAATATGATAATTACCCTGATCTGATCATACACAATATATACATACATCAGAACACCACATAGTACCCCATAAATATGTATAACTACTATGTATCAATTAAAAATCAAAGAAGAAAAGTGGAAATGTCTACCTCAGTGAACTCACCCACTTGATTAGGTTCGAGGTTTTTATGCTAGCAATCATTTGACTCTTAATGGCAAAGGTGAGGGTAGGCATAGTTTCAAACTGGTTAATATTTTGCCTGGACAAAATATTATATAGAGAAAAAAATCTAGCTCCAGATTACCCAGGGCATATAAGAAATCTCTGCCCTTCATATTTATCTAATAAGCACATTTAGAACTTACCTGTCTCTCATTGACATGCACAGGGTAATAGACACATTAAGAATATCTGTGTGTCAGATTACAGGTGTAGAGGCTCACACCTGTAATTCCAGCTACTTGGGAGATAGAGATCAGGATGATCACTGTTGGAGGTCAGCCAGGCAAAAAGTTAGTGAGACCATATGTCAACAAATAAGCCCTGCATGGTGACCAACACTTATGATCTCAGGAACATGAGAGGCTCTGTAGGATGATTGTGGTTCAAGGCTGGTCCCTGGGGCAAAAATACAATACTCCCTTCAAAAGATAACTAAAACAAAAAAGGGCTGAGGGCATGGTTCAAGTGGTAGAGCATCTGCCTTGCAAGCTTGAAGTCCTGAGTTCAAACCCCAGTAAGACCAAAATAAAAGATTATTTATGTTTGCCATCACAGTCACAATTTTAAAATCCTGTGATTCTAATCAGTATAAATCACAAAGCTAACACAGTAATGAAGCAAATCAAGAGGACATCTTCAAAAGATATTATTTAAATGTATATTTGCCATGTACAGGTAACTGGTAGATAGGATTATTCAGAAGAGGGATGTCTGAAAAGCCTTCATGGAAGGGATGGGATTGAATTTGCAGTGGATAGCAAGAACTGGTCCCAGGTAGAAATGCAGAAAAGGAATTCTGAATATCAGGAGGCATGGCTGACTCTAGAGTACCAGCTATATGACCTGGTTTCCAGGACTTCCTTAGGAATGCTGAAAAATCCATTGCATTTCCTAATGAGGAATAATTTGCATTAGATTAAATCTTCAGTCTTTGTATAGCAGTGCTGGCAGCCCTTGCGTGTGCTTATGAGGTAAAAGAGAAGGATGAATACAAAGTTACCTTCAGTGTTCTCCAAGGCATTTGCTCAAATATACATCTTCTTCTTCCTTAGTAGAGCATCCTCTCCATCTACATCCTGGAGAAAAGTTTCTTACTGTCATACTTACAAGTGTATCTGCATCTGTGCTGTCACCCCTTCAACTTCTTCAAGTTTTCCTCCTTTCCCCAAGAGCTGTTTCTTCTCTTGTATTTTCACCACTTTTACTCTTTACTGACTCCTCCTCAACTGGCCATCAACTTGTAGAAACTTCCACCATTAAATGTATACATATTTCCTGGGACCTACAGTCCTGCCTCTGTCTTTTTTGGGTTTCTTGGAAGATTCCTTCTAACCTCACACTTGCTTCTTGTGGAGTAATCATTAAACCTCTATCCCCACTGCCCCTTCCCAGGCTCCTGCCATCCCTTGAACACTGGTGTCTGGTTGCACCTCTTGACCCCTTTTCCTCTTTGCTGCTGCTGTTTCTCCTCTTCCAGGAAAACTCTTCCACTCCTTGGGTTTCAGTTCCAGGGAAGTCTTGTTTTAGACATTTGGGTTCTAATGTTTTTAGTACAGGCAAAGATTACCCTTGAAAATCCCTTATAGTATGGATATGGTTTTCTCTATGCAAGCCCCATAGTTTTTATAAAATGTATGCTATAAACATATTATATATAATACATATATTGTAATAATACATCATATATAATTCCCTAAGAGTAATTAAGAAACTATTATCAAGTACTTTACTATTGTAAATAAATCAAATTTATATAGATTCCAACCTGTTAGCTCTTCCTGTTTGTCAGCATCCTATTTGTCTTTGGTATATCATCTCATCAATTGCTCTATCTCTTCTACCTGACCTTCAGTTAATCCTCATGGAATTGGTAAAATCTTGCTAATGACTCTCTAGACATTGGTGAAAATCCTTACAATCATTCATACATTCTTTCCATTCTTTTCCCAATATATATGGGATCATGCAAGCATGTATCCATGTTTTGTGGACATTTGAAAACTGAATGGCATAACAGCAGTCAGCCTTACTATTTAAATTAGCTATACCTCTCTGTCTTCCTATCTCTTTTTGTTGATGGTATCTAGTTATCAAATAATAAATTTGATGTAAGGGAGAGAGACACTGACTGACTGACTCTCATTCTTCATTTCCAGCCTAAATGATCCTTTGGATTCTGGTGCCATATGAAATAGCTCTGGCACATATTTCTGACTCAGTACCAGAAATGCTTTACCATATTAAGGATCCATATCTGTTTCCTTCTACTAGATTGAAATTTTCATGAGGGCAGGGACTTTGTCATTTTGTTTATATATCCTTAGCAAATAGTATGTGCTTCATGAATTTAAACTGTCAGTCTGGAATACAATCAGTCAAAATCCAGAAGTGCAATGGAAATTGCTTTTGATGAATCTTCTAAATCATTGTAAGAGGGTTAAAAATAGTAAAACAGCTATCTGAGAAGCTTTTGTTCTTACTGTAGAAAAAATTGGATAAGCTAATGGGAAAGCAGGATTAAATAAATTTATCAGCCTGTGGGTTTCTAAATAGTATGAAGTTTTTCTGTCAAGTTTTTTCTTGTCTGTGAAATTTTCTTGTCTACCTTTGTTGCCTAGACAGCCTCCTGTAGGGATTCCTGCCTACAATCAAGTCCTCCAGGTTTTTTTGCTGTTAGTAGAAACCTAGTTTGATTCAGATAAGAACTTAAGTAATTTTGTTACTCTAAAAAATTATGTAATGTTTATAGGAAAAGAAGACATTGCTAGAATTGTCTGGATTGGATTAAATCAGCTGTACTCTGCTAGAGGCTGGGAATGGTCAGACCACAAGCCATTGAACTTTCTTAACTGGGATCCAGGTAAATCCCTTCACCGACTTTGCCCAGATCAAATGTTTCAAAAAACAAATGTATCACAGGGAGCTTATAAATGTTTCAAGTATTGACAAATCTTATGATACTTCTCAGAAGATTTTTTTTCCTAAGCTATTCTTGACTGTAGTGTCATTATGGCCAATTTGAGCTGTACAATGGGCAACTGAGCATTTGTCCCTGATGTTTGGAGCAACCCTATATTTTTAGATGAGAACAGAATGAGCCCCACCATGAAGCTAGGAGCCATTCTGTGTCCCATGGGGGGACTTGATAGGTCTAACCCATGTTATGTTTCATTGGAAACTTAACTCTAATGCAGAGATACTCCCTCATTTTCAAATTCTTGGGTTTTTCCCACCATAATGCCCAAGTATTGACAAAATAATGGTTCTGTTTTATTATGCAAATAAATACCTCAAAGAAAATTTTGTAGTGAACAAAACAAATAAAACCCTGTTTAGCTAAAAACTTATCCACAAAAAAAAGGATAAGATACCTTTTAAAAAATAAAATCTGACAAATGCAAAAACCTAAAAGTTAAAGTTAGTTTCTATACAAAAGTATTTTCTGTAAGCACCCAGGAAAAATACAAATGTCATTTTAGTTAACTAAAATTTCTGATTAATTAATAAGTAAATTAATACTCTATTAGCTGAGCGAATAGACTCTGAAGCAAATTTAAATCTCTCTTTTTTTCTTTACTCTTTTGATTGAGCCAGGGCCTTGTACATTTTAGGCAAGTGTTCAATCACTGAGCTACACCCTTAGCCTTTAATTTAACCTTTAATCTATGGCCTTAAGGGCCTTATGGAATCATAATTTAAAATTTACCATTTTATAAATATTTATTATACAGTAATGGGCTAAGAGCTCCTAGCTACAGATACATAACATGGAAGTTGTTTAAGGACAGAAGACTTGTTTTTCATTTTTCTTTTCTTTTTTTTTTATGTTTATGATCTTGCTATAATATATCTGAATGTTTTCCCTTGTATCTACAAGAAAGAAGTATGTAAACACATTATTTGACAAATGCAAAACCTAAAAGTTAATGTTAACCTCAGTACAAAGATACTCGCTTTTGAGGATTATACATTTCAATTTAGTTAAAGCCTTTAACTATGCTTTGAATTCCCATAAAGGCAGAAAATTATAAATACGAATTATTTTTTCTAACTACCACCCTGGCCCTAATGTCTTTCTTCTAACTCTTTGAAAATCCTACTTTTTAAGCTATGCCGAGTGCACCTATGATAGGTGGATCAAGCTGTGCAAGAATGGATGCCGAGTCTGGGCTGTGGCAGAGCATTTCGTGTGAAGCTCAACTGCCCTATGTCTGCAAGAAACCATTAAATAATACAGCAGAGTTCACAGGTATCTTCCTTGTTCCTACATACAAAGAAGTCTTAAAACCACAGTTTTGTGAAATCAAGTAAATCCATTTCAGATATCTATTTCCACCTTTCCATCACCTGATACTGCCAGTGCAGAAAACTATTTGATTTTTGACCCTTTTGTTAGATATTACCAAGTGCACATGAATACATCTTTGGTTGAGGCAAGAAAGAATATCAAGTAAAAATACATAATGGCACATAAGATGGCAGAGATATTTTTGATAGAAAATGTGTTTCTATTCATAGGTGGCTCTTTTTCCTTTAGAACAGTGGTTCCCAGACCAAGTGTATCAGCATTGCTTATGCCTGTTAGAAATGCAAATTCCCAGAGCCTACCCCAGATTTACTAAATGGGAAACTGTAGGTATGCAGCCCAGGAATCTGTGCTCTCAGAAGCCCTCCAGGGGACCCAGATGTGTGCTCAAGTCTGAGGACCAGTGCTGTAGGTCCTCAGGTTGTAGGTGTTGCATGCCTATAACAAGTCAAAAACTGTGGATGCAGAGGTATTCCCAGGCTTTCCCAGCCTGCCTGCCGATGCCCAGCCCTTATTCTTCTATGTCAGGCTCATTCTTTAGGTCTTTGTATTTAAAAATTGGGTAAAAAATGAGAAGTGGCAGGACAAAATATGTACAAGGAGGGGATTTTTCCACCTCTTTCCAGAGGTGAAAGAAATATGAAAACAGTTGAAGTTCTGGAGGAGGTTTGAGGGATATTTTGCAAGAATAGAGAAGAGAAGCTCCAGGACTGTCAAGCATAGAGCCTGATGTATATCAGATATTTGATTAAATTTTCACTGAACTAGAAAAACTCGGACTCAAAACTTGGAGGAGAAAGGTGATTTTCAAATGCCCTGCTTTAAGGAGTAGCAATAATCTCTGACAAAGTAGACTTCAAACCTACATTGATCTAATGAGATAAAGAAGGACATTCCATACTAATAAAAGGAGAAATAGACCAAACGGAAATAATAATCATCAACCTGTATGCACCCAATGTCAACGCACCCAGTTTCATCAAACATATCCTGAAAGACCTAAAAGCATATATTTACCAACCACATAGTGGTTGTGGGAGACTTTAACACCCCATTATCATCAATAGACAGGTCATCCAAACAAAAAATCAATAAAGAAATTCAAGATCTAAAATATACAATAGATCAAATGGACCTACTTGATGTCTACAGAACATTTCATCCAACTTCTACACAATATACATTTTTCTCAGCAGCCCACAGAACCTTCTCTAAAATAGATCATATCATTCATCACAACCATGTAGGCTTCATCCGAGGAGTGCGGGGGTGGTTCAACATACGCAAATCAATAAACGTAATAAACCACATTAATAGAAGCAAAGTCAAAAACCACTTGATCATCTCAATAGATACAGAAAAAGCCTTTGATAAGATCAACACCATTTCATGATAAAAGCGCTAAGAAAACTAGGAATAGAAGGAAAGTACCTCAACATTATAAAAGCTATATATGACAACCTATAGCCAGCATTATACTTAACGCAGAAAAACTGAAACAATTCTCTAAAATAAGGAACGAGACAAGGATGCCCATTATAACCATTACTATTCAACATAGTACTGGAATTCCTAGCCAGAGTGATTAGGCAAGAAGAAGGAATAAAAGGAATACAAATAGGTAAAGAAAATGTCAAATATCCCTATTTGCAGACAATATGATCCTATACCTTAAAGACCCAAAAAACTCTACTCAAAAGCTCCTAGACACCATCAATAGCTACAGCAAGGTAGCAGGATATAAAATCAGCATAGAAAAATCATTAGCATTTCTATACACTAATAATGAACAAACTGACACAGAACATATGAAAATAATTCCATTTACAATAGCCTCAAAAAAAATCAAATACTTAGGAGTAAACTTAACAAAGGGTGTGAATGACCTCTACAAGGAACAAAGGGTGTGAATGACCTCTACAAGGAAAACTATAAACTCCTGAAGAAAGAGATTGAGGAAGACTATAGAAAGTGGAGAGACCTCCCATGCTCATGGATTGGTAGAATCAACATAGTAAAAATGTCTGTACTCCCAAAAGCAATCTACATGTTTAATGCAATTCCCATCAAAATCCCAAAGACATTCATCACAGAGATTGAAAAATCTACCATTAAATTTATATGGAAACACAAGAGGCCACGAATAGCCAAGGCAATACTCAGTAAAAAGAACAACACTGGAGGTATCACAATACCTGACTTCAAACTATATTACAAAGCAATAGCAATAAAAACAGCATGGTACTGGCACAAAAACAGACATGAAGACCAGTGAAACAGAATAGAGGACCCAGATATGAAGCCACACAACTATAACCAACTTATATTTGACAAAGGGGCTAAAAATATATGATGGAGAAAAGACAGCCTCTTCAACAAAAACTGCTGGGAAAACTGGTTAACAGTCTGCAAAAAACTGAAACTAAATCCATGTTTATCAACCAAAATTAACTCAAAATGGATCAAGGATCTTAATGTCAGACCCCAAACTCTAAAGTTGGTACAGGAAAGAGTAGGAAATACTTTGGAACTAATAGGTATAGGTAAGGAATTTCTCAATGGAACCCCAGCAGCTCAGCAACTAAGAGATAGCATAGATAAATGGGACTTCATAAAACTAAAAAGCTTCTGCTCAACAAAAGAAATGTTCTCTAAACTGAAGAGACTACCCACAGAGTGGGAGAAAATATTTGCCAGCTACACATCAGACAAAGGACTGATAACCAGAATATATAGGGAACTCAAAAAACTAAACTCACCCAAAATTAATGAACCAACAAAGAAATGGGCAAGTGAACTAAAATCTCAAAAGAAGAAATTCAAATGGCCAAAAAACACATGAAAAAATGCTCACCATCTCTAGCCATTAAGGAAATGCAAATCAAAATCACACTGATTCCACCTCATCCCTGTTAGAATAGCCATCATTAGCAACACCACGGACAACAGGTGTTGGCGAGGATGTGGGAAAAAAGGAACCCTCATACACTGCTGGTGGGAATGCAAACTAGTACAACCACTCTGGAAAAAAATTTGGAGGCTTCTTAAAAATCTAAACATAGATCTACCATATGATCCAGCAATACCACTCTTGGGGATATACCCAAAAGAATGTGACACAGGTTACTCCAGAGGCACCTGCACACCCATGTTTATTGCAGCACTATTCACAATAGCCAAGTTATGGAAACAGCCAAGATGCCCCACTATTGATGAATGGATTAAGAAAATGTGGTATTTATACATAAGGGACTACTACTTAACCATGAAGAAGAATGAAATATTGTCATTTGCAGATAAATGGATGGAACTGGAGAACATCATCCTGAGTGAGGTTAGCCAGGCCCAGAAAACCAAAAATCATATGTTCTCCCTCATATGCAGACTGTAAGTCAAGGGCAAACACAATAAGAGGATGGGACTTTGATCACATGATGAGGCGAGAGCACACAAGGGAGGTATGAGGATAGGCAAGAAACCCCAAAAAAACAAGATAGCATTTGATGTCCTCAATATAAAGGAACTAATGAAGAAACTTTGAAGCACAGAGGCCAATAGGATAAGGGGACCAGGAACTAGAGAAAAGGTTAGTTCAAGAAGAATTAATTTAGAAGGTAACACATATGTACAGGAAAGCAATGTGAGTCAACTCCTTGTATAGCTATCCTTACCTCAACTAGCAAAAACCCTTGGTTCTTCCTATTATTGCTTATACTCTCTCTTCAACAAAATTAGAGATAAGGGCAAAATAGTTTCTGCCTGGTAGCTAGGGGGTGGGGGTGGGAGAGAGGGGATGGGGGGGGAAGAGAGGGGATGGATGGGGAGGGGAGGGAGGAAAAATGACCCAAACATTGTATGCACATATGAATAAAAGAAATTTTTTAAAATGCCCTGCTTTAAGGAATTATGGAGAAAGGGAAAAAGCTACCAAATTTCTTATCCAAAAAGGAGCATATAGCATATTTTTAAAGAAAAAATTATATACAATAAAGAATCTAGGCAAATGTTTTAAGATAATAGGAAAATATGAACATTTATCTTCCAAATTAATGCAAACCAAATGTAATCCATCCAACAAAAAAGCATAATAGAGAAGCCAGCATGAATGAAAAACTAGAACAACTGATAATAGATTAAGTAAATATCTGGAAGTAGCAGTTATTAAGTAAATCATGATGTTTTCACATGATTAAATTATACACATTTATTATAACTGTGCCAGCAGGAAAATACAAAGAACAAAACAAATGAAATGTCTGCTTACTATTTTAATCATGTAAAAATACGTATTCATAGAGACTAAGACTATAATATGATAACAATTATTTTAAGTTCAATTATATGTTATTTTTCCCCTCTGCTCCTTTGCCATAAAATCTAATAGTAATATAAGTGCTATTCAGATCCGTAAGGTTAATTTAGTTATCTTCCAAGTATGAGAGGGAAGTTATACTTGAATTTTACCTTTTAGTAGCAAACTATCCATTTTTTAGATGGCTGTTTTCTTGTAAAATGTTCCAAGTGGTTCTGAATCAGTGAAGTCCAAGTAACTACATTACTTTCTAATTGTTAACAAGAGTACACATATTTTGTGTGGCCTTATGTCTGTCTTTCTCTCTCTCTCTCCCTCGCTCTCTCTCTCCTTCCCTCCATCCCTCTGTCCTTCTCTTCTTCCCTATCTCCCTTCCTCTTTCTTTCCTCCCCCCTCTAATCTGGAAAGATACAACCTTCACTTGTGAGTTTCATCATGGTCAAAATTAGAATCACTAGTCCATGGGCATGATAGGTACAGCAGAGGGGATGAAAGAAGAGGTCCAGAGATGCCTTCTGCCCTTTACCTCCATTGCTGCCATCTCTTGAGTGTGGAGTGTACAAATGTCTTACTCTACTCCTTAAATCTCTGCCTGTCCTCTGCTCAACAGTAAGCATTAATCCCCATTCCCTTCCTAACTAAGCATAGGAGAAAACAAGGCTCAACCTCATTATAATGTCAAAGGCAGAGACTGGAGATGAATCTACCAAATCCTAGACCCAGGAAAAGATTTGTCAGCAACTGGTTTACCCCACACCCTTCATCTGTCTGTTAGGAATAAGGGCAATCTCTCCCTTAACTGTGTTTGTGCCCCTTAAATAGTCTATGCCCACCCATATGGCATGTTTATATCACATTAAGGTCACATCATTAGCTGAGTCTTTGCAGGGAGTCTTATGATGCCATATATACATTAGGCACAGCATAAACTCATGTCACTCTAATATCTGCCATCATATCGTGAAGTTTTCTAAGAAGCTTGTGATTCAGGAAAGAAAATTTTGCAATGTTGCTGATTCAAAACAGATACATCTTTACTGGAATGTAAATTGCCGCTTTTCCTCCAGACATTTGGACATATTCAGATACCCACTGTGATGCAGACTGGCTGCCAAATAACGGATTTTGCTATCTGTTGGCAAATGAAAGTGGTTCCTGGAATGAGGCACATATGAAATGCAAAACCTTCAGTGGTGACCTAATCAGCATTCATTCCTTAGCTGATGTGGAGGTGGTTGTCACAAAACTCCATAGTGGGGGTAAGTATTTAAAAATATCTTCTCTTAGATGTTTAAGACATTTAGAAATATCCCTATTTTCAGACTCTTAGTGGGAATAAGGAGTTTACAATCTGTTCTACAGATCAGGATTGTTTGTGGCAATGACATTGTTCTATAGCCTGCACTGTCCAGTACAGTTGCTACCAGCCACATAAGGCTTTTGAGCTCTTGAAATGTAGCTAGAGCAACTGAGGGACCAAATTATTACTTTTATTTCATTTTAATTTCTTTACATTTGAGTTTAAATAGCTATAATACGCCCAGTGGCTACTACAACTCTTGGTCAAATAATCTTCTTCCCATAAGCTAAATTCTATTTAAGTTCCTCCAAAAACTTAAGTGAAAGCTAATGACTGGTAAACAAAAATATACTAATCTGCCTATATTATACTCTCTTTCTAGGATTCTGTAGTAATTACAGCTAACACTAGTTACCTGTTCTGTGCCAGCCAGCACAGTGCTAATTGTTTTCTTGTGAAGGCAGAGGGGTTGTTCCAAGGCATCAGTGGACAATATTTCTATTCTAATTAGAATATCTGTGATTGTATTTATAGAATTTCATTAACCCCACAAAGCAAAGTTTGTCTGCAGCAGATGTCAGGAACACGCAGTTTACAGATCCTGGTATGGCTGTTCTTCCTGGTATTCTACTTGCATAAGTGCTATGAAAAATCTTCATTAAGCTAGGCTGGTGTTCATAATCCTAGTACTAAGAAAAGCTGAGGCAGGAGGATCTCTTGAGTGCAAGGCTAGCCTGGGCTACCTAAGGAGACTCTGTCTTTAAAACAACAACAACAAAAAAACAGTCAAACAAAGAAGGCTTCATTTCCCAATCTGCCTGCTTCATCAAGTATTTCAATAGGCTAATTAAGAATACCATAAAGTTTCTTAAAACCCCAGTATGTAAAAATCAATAACAATGTATATATTGAAGAATGTTACTGAGTAAAACCAAACAAATAAAACATTTTTCTTTTAGATGTCAAAGAAGAGATATGGACAGGCCTTAGGAATGTAGATAAACCAACTTTGTTTCAGTGGTCAGATGATACTGAAGTTACTCTAACATACTGGGATGAGAATGAACCAAATGTTCCCTACAATAAGACTCCCAACTGTGTTTCCTATTTAGGAAAGGTAAGAAGCCTCCTGTGGTTTATTTATAGTCTTATTTAATACCTAATAAAAATACTAAGATTACTTTGGTTAAATTATTTGTGGGTAAATTGAGAAAGAAAATAAAAGGTAAGAGCCCTGTAGGCTGCCACTCAGATAGCTACTGGAAAAAAAAGAAAGGTAAAGAACAATTACTAAGAACACATTTCCTGTCTGAGAACACCTACTCTGAAACATACAGAGAGTCTCTTCAGAACTCAGATTCCTATGCTAGACTGGTTCTAATACCCTCCTTTCTCTAAGGAGCAGAGCCTCGGTCTCTACCTAGTAATTGGCAAGTAGCAACAGTTTAAAAAGTCCTATCTTTTCATGTTCAGATTAAGTTTTATAGTAGTCCAACTTTGAGGATAAAGTGAAAATACTTTTTCTTGTATTTCAATTTTAAATAAATATTTTATTCAATATTTTAATTTTTAAAACAGCACCAAATTCGTTCAGAAAAAAAATATTACTCCTGTAATTTGCCTGAATGTTTTGTGAACATACTTAGTTAGGTTAAGAGCCCCCAATAGGTTCATATGTACCTTTGTGTTACTTTCCTGTGAATAGTTGTCTCTTATTGATTCTAAGGGCAACCATGTCACCCAGACATCTAGAGAGACTTCAGTGGAAACAATAAATGGGATGTGTGTTCAGAAGTGTTTCATAGTAAAAATGTATTTAGAAAGGTGTCACATTTGGTGCTCTTAAAAGGATAGTTAAGATATCTTTAGAAAAGCATCAAAAATGGAAGCAAGGTCCCATCAAAAGAGAACTGAAGGCATACCTAGACAGAATTCCAGTGTTCAAAATTACCCTTATCACAGTATATTTATTGAAATTTAATTTAAAAAAAGTAAAGTGACTTGGTTAAGAAAAATTAATTTTAAATAGCATATCAGATAACTTTGAAGTCTAGGCTAGAGTTGAAAGAAACTTTTGACTCTAGTATTCTCAGAGAGCAGCCCTTATAACCACCACATGTGAGGAAACTGAGACAGGAAGGTTAGTTGTATCTCAAAGTTCTTAACCATGTCATGAAGAAAAAGACTAGAATCCTGTGGGATGCAGTTTTCTCTCTTCAGTTTCTCAACTAGGTATTCTTTGGTGGCTTTATTGTTATAATTACAAGAAAATAGAATCATCCACACTGTAACCTATAGGTGATAGGGAGATAACAGGCTGTGAACTGCATATCTCTTTTTAAAAAGCTAGGTCAATGGAAAGTCCAATCATGTGAAGAGAAACTCAAATATGTATGTAAGAAAAAGGGAGAAAAAATGAATGATGCAAGGTCTGATAAGATGTGTCCTCCAGATGAGGTATGTAAAATCCCTTTGTGATTTGTGTGTGTGTGTGTGTGTGTGTGTGTGTGTGTGTGTGTGTGTGTGTGTGGTACTGGGGTTTGAACTCAGTTCCTTATGCTTGCCAGGGAGGTTCTCTACCACTTGAGCCACTCCATCAGCCCCCTTTGTGAATTTTCATAAGCAGAATTGCACCTTCTTGGTTAGAGGTAGCAGTTGAGACTTAAAACAATTCAGACTTGGAAAAGAAAAGAAATTATTAGCTTCTCTTCATTTACATTAGAGTAAGCCATAAAGGAATAATACCATATTGGTGTTCTTATAGAAGCAAAGAGACTTAGCTACTTAGGAATTTCTATAAAAATATTATTTCTACCCTCAATGCGGATATCTTTATTTCCTCTAATAATATTATTACTGTTCAAAAATAATTGAATTAACAACCATTATACTCTTATAGTGATCTATGCTGTAAGGGTAAAGAGAACTATGTCACACCTGTCTGACCCAGGTCCATAGTCTTGTAGAAGTTACCTATGACAGTGTATCCCACACCCATCACATGTATGAACGCACTGGCTATGTCCTCATTTTCCACAAGTTGTAAAATGTTATCAATGTAGCAGAAGCCTGCTTATCAGAGCGTGGCATCATTAAGTCTGGGAAACAGTATAATGACATTTCGCCTCTGACTTAGGACTGGAAGAGACATGGAGAAACCTGTTACAAGATTTATGAGAATGAGGTCCCTTTTGGAATGAACTGCAACCTGACTATCACTAGCAGGTACAACCATCAGGAAACACATACTAGTAAACTTCTAACTCTTGGGTTCTTTTACTAAACAGTCTTCATCTTTAAATTAGTTTATTGATTATGAAACATTGGCAGTTTGGTTCATCTTTTTTAGATTTGAGCAAGAATACCTGAATGATATGATGAAAAAGTATGATAAATCTCTTAGAAAATACTTCTGGACTGGCCTGAGAGATGTAGATTCCCGTGGAGAGTATAGTTGGGCAACTGTTGGTGGAATAAAGCAAGCTGTAACCTTTTCCAACTGGAATTTTCTTGAGCCAGGTGAGTGAGCCTTTAAAGTAGAACAGTGACTATTGAAGCACAGCATTCCTCCCAAATATGTCCTTCACCTACTTTTAAAATGTGTGGGAATTGATGATTTTTAAGACTGGAGTCTTTGAGACCATAAATAGAAGCAATGTCTCTGTCTTCCCTATTAAATCCTTGAGAATAATCCAATGAAAGAAAGTTAGGAGACTCATTTTTCCAAAATCACTGTCTAACCCCACAGAGCTAGAACCACCAGTACAAGTCTCAAACAGAATCTAGAAGCTTCATTGTGAAACACTTTGTTTTCATCTCTATGCTTCTTATCTTCATTTTCCAAAATCGAATGTTTATTTCTGTTATTTTCAGTAAGAATTAAAAAGGCAAGATATTGTGCAATCAGTTATTCTGAAAGTTAGTTTATCTTTCTCCAAACCAGCCTGAAGCATTGGTCATAATTTGCCATAGAATCAAAAGATTTGACATGGGGCCTCAGAAGTCCATCCTGAGTTTAGAGTTGAGAAAACAGCAGCTGAGAAAGGTGGTTTACTTGGAAAATTCATCTGGTTATTGAATTAGTAAAAACCACCTCTCCTGACTTTTTGGAGGATTTTAGTTTTGAATAAGATAGCAATTATAAAGCATTCTACTTTTCTCCCTTCAAATTTATATTTTCTTAAGTTGGTGTAAATGTGATCATGAAGACCATTTTTATAACATGGAAATTGGAACGTGTGAGCTTATAATTGAACACAATATTTGAAATAATGATTTCCCACAAAATTTGTGACACATGGTCATGACCATCAATTTGAGTGGTTATTAATAATAACAAAATCATCTTTTTACTTACAGAAGTAGATGGAGTATATAGTTGCTAATCCTGGTTAAATTCCACTTAAATTAGATATATTCTAACAGATAAAACATAGATTTCTTAGAGCCAGATATGGTGATGACACCTATAATTCCAGAACTCAGGAGGCTGAGGCAGGAGGATGGCAAATTAGAAGCCAAGTTGCAATACATAGCAAGCCTGTCTCAAAAAATTTTTTTCTTTAATGGTTACTCAACCATCTTAGAATGTGAATGTCACATTCTTCATGGATTCTCAGTGGCTGGAGAGGTACACAGGAAATAGCTAGCACAGCTCTTCCCATGGTTCTGTAGTCAGAAAGACTGCCATTAAGCTCTTTGCCATTACAACTCCCAGCCTTAGCCAACTTGGTCTATCATAAGCAAGCCATGGATAGGCAGTCTGAACAGGGAAAAATAGCACACCAATCCAGGGTGATATGGTACTACTTTTCTCTGTTCCTAGTTCCTCTTGCTGCCAGTATAAACATAAGGCATGCGACCATACAGCTTCTCTGATTGGAGGGATAGAAGTTATCCTCATTACTTTTCCAATGTATGTGACCTTCTTCTATTCTGCCCACTTCAAGCAGTGTGATATAACAAGAAAGAGAGCATAGCATGGTCTTTTTCAGAAAAAAATCAGATTCAAATCCTAACTTCACATCTCACTAACTATGAGCATGGTTTTCAAGCAAAGTCATCTAGGCTTTGCTTGAAAAATGGATCTGATAATACAAATTACCTTCTAATGTTGTTAGGAACAAATAAAATTGTGACTATCATAACATAAATAGTAAAAAAATGCATGTTTCCACATGTCTTGTACCATTTTTATACCAGACCTTCCTTTGGATCTGTGTCTGGGAAGGTTTTGTCTTGAAGCTTACTAAATTGCTTAAACACTGCTCAGAGTTGTTAGGCTACTTTGAACCAGCATAGTGATTTGGGGTGCCCTGGAAGGAGACTGATTGAGTTTAAATCCAGGGTCAACAGCTTGAACAAGCCCCTTAGTCTTCACTGTATCTCAGTTATGACAAAAAAAAAATCCACCCTATCAGTTTATTGTAAGGGATTGACTTAATCCCTTTAGAATAGTGTCTTGCAGATAGTAAATAATTCTTTACAATAGCCTATCATCATTATTATTCTTAATAACACATTTCCTCCCCACCTTGTCTCTAAGCATAGAAACAAACACCAGAAAATATTTGAACTTTAACATAAAGTTTTAATTTTTAATTAAACTTTCCTATTCAACCCCAGCATCTCCAGGCGGGTGCGTGGCTATGTCTACTGGAAAGTTTCTTGGCAGGTGGGAAGTGAAGGACTGCAGAAGTTTCAGAGCACTTTCAATTTGCAAGAAAATAATTGGACCCCTGGAGCCTGAGGAAGCATCCCCTAAGCCTGATGACCCCTGTCCTGCAGGCTGGCATAGTTTCCCCTCCAGTCTTTCTTGTTACAAGGTAAAGTAACATTCTCATTCAGTCTCACGATAGAGTTATCTTTCTACTATCTTAGTTCATGTGCTTGTACAAATTATGCTCCTCTCTGTGGACATAGGTAACTTAACAGAAGTGTTTGGGAACACAGAGTCCTTGGCAAGGCATCAAAGATCTGTAGTGTCAGACAGCTCAGTCCTTATACCCTGCCCATGTCCTACCTGAAAGAGCAGAAACAGAGCCAGATTGGGCTCTTTCCTAGGGTTCTCTCCCTCTGGGAAGTTGAGTGAGCTGCATGCCATGCTGACACTATGCTTAGAATTCCATAAATTTCTAATTATTATTGTCAAGTTAAAATTTCTGTCACTTCTTAAGTAAAAAAATAAATAAATAAATTTGGATCTGTATCAGTCATCTGGTCTCATTAGATACTACCCCAAAACTTAGTGGTAGTAACAACATTTAGTCTCACATTCACAGATCTTTGGCTCAGTTAGAGTTTGATCTAATATGAATGGTTGATTCTGCTTCCAGTTGCAGGTGTGCTGTGCTGGACTCCAGGCGATGACCTGTGGTCTGTTGCTCTTTACTCTAGGGCTCAGGCTAAGAGGCAGTAGCTGTCAGGAACTTGTTTTTTTTTCTTTTTTTCTTTATTGTTTTATTATTCATATGTGCATACAAGGCTTGGGTCATTTCTCCTCCATGACCCCCACCCCCTCCCTTACCACCCACTCCGCCCCCTCCCTCTCACCCCCACCCCGTCAATACCCGGCAGAAACTCTTTTGCCCTTATTTCTAATTTTGTTGAAGAGAGAGTATAAGCAATAATAGGAAGGAACAAGTGTTTTTGCTGGTTGAGATAAGGATAGCTATACAGGGAGTTGACTCACCTTAATTTCCTGTGCGTGTGTGTTACCTTCTAGGTTAATTCTTTTTGATCTAACCATTTCTGTAGTTCCTGGTCCCCTTTTCCTATTGGCCTCAGTTGCTTTTAAGGTATCTGCTTTAGAGGAACTTGTTTTTTTTCATGGTATATTCCAAAAAGACAAATCCACCCACATAAGCACATTTCAGGCCCCTGCGCGCCTTTACCTCCACTAACATTCCATCAGTCACATGTCACATGTCCAAATGCTGTGTACAGAGAAGTATGTGCCAGACACCAGGAGGCTAAGTAAGAATTTGTGATTTTATTACAGGGAACTAAAGAACAGGACCAATAATCAGCCTATATGGTCCTGTCTTCTCTTCCCATTCCTCCCCTTTCTTCTTCTTTGAAATAACTGTGGTTCCTTTGACCTAAGCTTACCTAGCATAAACCAAAGAAGTAGTCCAAGATGGAAAGTTTTGATTCTCTTCCTCTGTCAATGTTCATACACCAGCATAGTTTGCTCTTTGATTCTTCTTCATCTGAAATAGGCCTGTTCTAGTGTAGATCTCAGTGTCTCATGTTCAAAATTGTATTGTTGGTACATTTCTTACAAAAGTCTACTTCTAGAGCATTCATATGTATACTTTACTGACTTGACTACTGGTTCATTTTAACTTTCAAGGAGTGCATGAAGTCATAGTATCTTGTTGGAGCAGTTCCCCAGTATGGCTGAGGAAGGCCATCCCACTGACGGGTGGTCAGCACCTGTGCAGCCCACCTGTTGATTCTGAGAAGGACATGTGTCTTAGTATATTTACCTATGTCTTCATTACTCCTCTAAGAATCAATTTCAAGGGCCCACATATTTAACTATAATTTACTTTAAAACTATTCATTTTTTAATATTATGCCAAAAAACAAATGAACATTATATTCTGTTAAGATATTCCATATAGAAAGAATTGTGAGAAAGAGGAACTGGGAAGAAGCTGAAAGATTCTGCCAAGCACTCGGAGCACACCTGCCTAGCTTCAGTCATATAGATGAAATAAAGGAATTTCTTCACTTATTGAAGGAACAGTTCAGGTAATACTTCTTAGAATGACAACTTCTGTGCTACCTTTGATATCTTCTAGATATGCAAATTGACATGTTTAATCATCTAAGAAGCCACTTAGTGCTTAGCAGTCATGTAGTATCAAGAATTCTTCTGTACAAGATGCTATGAGATATTTGAAGATGAGGGTGACATAGGCCCTGCCCAAAAACAGGGTTAAAAAAAAGTATAGCAAAAAATCTAGAACTTAGATGAGGAAGACTCAGAGGAGGAAGGAAGTGTTACTGGTATATCAGGGAAATGTCAGGAAGAAGGCTGATTCTAGAAAGGTAGATAGTACTTTGAAAGGTAAGATAGGATAAGCAAAGATATTAGAACAGGATGTACAGTTATGGTCAAGGAGAAATGGATAAGGGGAAGGAGGAGAAGAAAGAGTAAGAGGGAGTGGATTTGACCAATATGTATTACAAGCATGTATGGAAATATCACAATGAAACCCCTTAGTATAATTAATATACATTAATTTAGAAAAAGAAGAAATGAATCATACAATTAGGCTAGAAAATGGGATTTGGACCTCTTGTTGTGTTTATTTTTTGTGGTGCTGGGGATTGAACCCACAGCCTTGTGCATGCTAGGCTCTGCCACTTGCGCTATGCTCACAGTTCTAGAAAATGGAATTTGGATATGAGTTTGGAATATCTTTGCCTATCAAGGAAAGAGTCTGATGTTCAGAAAATAGCAACAAACAAATAAGCAAGTTAATTAGCCCCAGTTAACTTCATTTATGAAGAGATTAGTTGATATAAACACACACATACAAACACACATACAAGACTGGGGGTGTGGCTCAATAATAGAGTGTTTTGTTAGCATGGATTTCATTTGCATCCCCAAACAAAACAAATTAAAAAAAAAAAAACATAAACTTGCACTCAGACGGGACTCAGAAGGGAATGGGTATGGGGTTTGTAGGTAGATGTAGGGCAAACTATTAGAAAAACTATCAGCAACTGCCCTGGTGGAAACCTACATGGAGGAAGAGAAGTAGGAATGGGAAAATCCCAAAGTGATCAAAGCTAGCTAGACTGGAGATGTGACTCAAGTGATAGAGCTGCCTGCTTTGCAAGTGGGAAGCCCTGAGTTTAAACCCCAGTCCCACCAAACAAATAAACAAACAAACAAAACTCCAGAGTGGTCAAAGCTGTATCAGTCATTGTGATTTTAATGTTAGGATGGAAGGAGTCTTCCTAGCCAGTTTTCCTGATGTTAAGGACAATACAGAAAACATGGATCTTAGGAGCTTCAACTCCACAAAATTATTTTTCTTTTCCCTCACTTATCTGAACTAAAAAGACTCAAGGGTATATTTTTTAAAAGATTCAGTGTATACTAGGATTAATTAACATAGTGAAACATACGTGAATATTTTCCCAATCATTTTGAATCTTAACAAAAGCCTCAGAGAAGACAGCAAAAAATGAAACAGCTTACCAAAACAAAGAAAATCTAACTATCCTTCTTTGGAACATTAAATGTAGAAGACATTTAAAGACTAATATCTTCAGAGTTTTGAGGTGGAAAATGTTTACAGTGTATTATTTTTAGTACCCAGTAAATTCTTTGGTAAAGAGATTGAGGGCTGGAGGTATGGCTTGAGCTATAGAGTGCCTGCCTCTTAAGCATGAAGCCTTCAATTCAAGCCCTAGTACCAGAAAAAAAAATTAATCGATATAAACCACCTACATTCTTGCTGGCAGTGGCTCAAGTGGAAGAATGCCTGCTTAGCAAGTGTGAGGCCCTGAGTTCAAACCCCAATGCCACAAAAAAAAAAAAAAAAAAAAGAACCATCTTTTTCCTTTCTGTAAAAAAAATTTCAACCATAAATTTTAGCTGAAAGATGAATAAAAAAAATAAGAATACACGAATAGGTAGTTTATTAAAAAGATTAAGAGCAAGAATATAACACAAAAACATAGCCCCAAGTCTAAATAATTATGATTAAAAACAGAATGATATAATTATAAACAGAATGAAATGATTCTTAACTTTGAAAGAGAAACATAATACTTTTTTAAGAAAACCATGTTTACATGTTCATAAATAAAAACTGGAATGTAGAAAGTTAAAACAGTTGTAAGAAAAATGAAAATAAAATAAATTCCTCACTTTTTCTGGAAATCATGTTTTAGAAACACAAAATATATAAACTTTTAAAACTTAAGTTAATGAGTACATCTTTCTACTAAATATGTGATAGAAGAAGGGGAAAGGCCCATATAGATGATTATAAAGAAAGTAGAAACAAAGGATGAAACCCAACATAAAGTTGGCAAAGGACCCAATTTATCCATTACTAGTTTTGATCAATTATCAGTGTTAAGTCCAAATCTACAAATATATTCAGTAATGAAGTCCAATTTTGTGTTGTTGAAAGAGACTTAAAACAAATCTTGCCATAAATTAGTACCTATCCAGCCCAAAGAGTATGATGTTCTTTTCCTGGAATAAAGATGACACAAAATGTCACAAAATTTCACTTCAATAAAAATCAGTCTCTTTAAAAATTAAAGCAACTGACAACATGTTTTTATTACAATATACATCTTCAACTTGCCATAGTCCCTTGCAGTGTCTATGTCAGTTGATTATATTATGGACTTGTCCCACATTAGCTCAAATAGCAAATGAGTTAATAAATTAAATATCTTGTGATTGTCTTAATAGATGCTGAAAACTCATCTGGTAAAATCCATTGTTTATTTCTAGCTTAAATGAATCATATATTTAATATATTTAATGAATAGGATCAATATATAAATTCTTATTAAGTTAAAAATGGAGTAGCTCAAATCAATAGCCATATCATAATTAATCATGAAGCATTATTAAATGCATTTCCACAAAAATCAGAAAAGGTTAACAATCCCTATTATCAGTACTATTGTTGATCTTTTTTTTTGAAATTTGTACTTTTTGCATTAAGATAAAAAAATACTATGTTGTATAAATGTTTATAATATATTAAGTGAAGAGAAAGGAAGATTTTAAAATAAAAAACACTTTCATTAAAAACTAGGCTGCAAAAATATATCAGAAAAAGGCAAGGTTGTTACCTCTGGGAGCTAATATTTTTGAGCTGTTTTTAAAATGTTTTTTTTTTAAATCACATTTTCCAGATATGATTTATCATAGCCACTATTATATTTTTCTCATTTAAAAAAGTAGTTTCACCATAGTCTGCTGGGAACCTGATGTAAGATACAATTCCTGTGTTCCATTAGTATGCATGCATTAAGCATCTACTGTAGAATTTCGGGTATTCTAGACTTCATCGCCTTACACCAGAAATCCAGTGTACAAATTTTCATTGCATATAATTTGGATATACTCACTCACAGGAATTGTGTTGTTGCTGTTTCGGTGTTTTGAGAAGATTGTTAGCTATTGCCTCACAAACTTGAGAGTAGACTATAATGAAATTCAGTCCAAATGCAGTCTTTACTACAAAGTCATTCATTGAAGCAGGCACAAAACATTTTATGTGACCTACTTTATAAGCCTGACAACACCCATCCCAGCAATCTGTCCTTTTAAGTGTTCTGAGTGCATAGCAAGTTAACTTGAAGCAGATGCGACAAGGTACCAGAGGCAGAATTTTGTTCCCATTATGGTTGACATCAGGCCACAACAATCACCTGACTCAGTGACTGAACATGGGACCAGTTAGGAATCAAACCATAGGCACCTTTTCTAAAGACACAGAATTTTGGTCTCACAAACCCTTATACCCTTATGAGAGTGTCTCTAAATATTTTAGCTAATCCCCATATCTTCAGTAATTTAAATTTCACTAATAAGAGCCCATTTCTAACATCATGCTGATTAACAAGCTTCTAATTTCACTGGTATAAACCCATTTCTGACATTCAGTAAAGACTAATAAAGCCTCCAGGTGTACCTTTGAATCACAAAAGTCCTTGTGGTGACCTTTTAAAAATACAATGCTAATCCTCCCTGAAGTGTGGATTTTGAGCAAGGAAACCTAATGAGCCCAAGATCTCAAGCTTGACACATACAATATCACACTGTTAAAGTAAGTCACTTTCAGTAAAATACTGACAGAACAAACAAACTCTAGATTCCAAGCAAGGAGTTAGTAGCTAATTAGAACAGGCAGCCATAGATAAGTATTAAGCAATAATGTTACAGATATTTGTAGGAATCAAATTAATGGAAAACATTGTAATAGCATGTATGATAGAACCATTAAACACATCTATACACAGAATGAATTACATTAGGAAACAGCTAACGTGAAAGAAAGGTAATTACTTCTCTTAATTTGTTTATTTTTTTTCACACTTGTTGAGCACCTTCCATTAAAAAATTGATAAAAGTTCATATATAAAGTTTGGAAAATATAAAAAGGGTAATGAAAAAAATTAACATCACCTCAAATCCTGGTTATACTTAACATTTAGTAAAAACTTTCCCATTTTCTTCCATTCCTATACATATAGATTTTATAAAATTTTTTGTTCACAGGACAAAATGTTTTCATTTTCTCTGATCACAAAAGTAATTCTTACTAATGACTGACAGAGTGATTCAAGTCGTAGGGCGCCTGCCTAGCAATTGTGAGGCCCTAACTTCAAACCCCAGTATCTCCCCCACAAAAGAAGTAATGCATATCGAATTTCAAAAACAGAGATGCAGAGAGAAAAAGCAAATCTCCATAATCCCTTCAATCACAGGAACCGTGTTCTATCTGTACTCTCATCCCAACAGCCAGCATAATGCCATATTACACAGACTGTATACTCTGCTTAGTGAATGCCCCATTAACAAAGAAACCATTTACCTATACTGTACTTAGAAGGAGAACATATTTCAAAACTGAAATTGTAACCATAACTTAAAGGAAAGGAACGAGACAGACCCAATTATATTAGAAAATATAAAGTTTACTCCTTGAATGCCTTAGTTTTTATTGCAGGAATTGACCCTTCTCAGCAAGAAGTCCATTAGCCACCCAAATTCTATATTGCATGCCAGGGAGTTAAGTCAGATTACTGCTATACTTCTCAGAATCTATGTCCCACATCTCTACTTGTATTTCAATGAAAAGGATTCATGGTACACCAAGTCATTAAGACTCTTAAGATCTGCTGAGTGCCAGTGGCTCATGCCTGTGATCCTGGCTACTCAGGAAGCAGAGATCAGGAGGATCGAGGGTGAAAGCCAGCCTGGACAAATAGTTCACAAGACCCTATCTCGAAAAAAACAATCCCAAAAATGGGCTGGTGGAGTGACTCAAGGTGTAGGCCTGAGTTCAAGCCTCAGTACTGCAAAAAAAAAAAAGACTGTAAGATCTTTGCAACTCTTAATGGCAGCTTAACAGGGAAAGCCATTGTAGAGCAAAAATAGTCCTAGTATTTAGAGAAGAAAGCTTTGTTTGTAGTGTCATTGCTGCTGTGTACACTACCTCCTTTGAATAGCTTGAATGGACTTAGATATAAATCTATGCTTTGCAGACTAAAAGTCCTCATCAAATAGTATTTATTGGGGGTTATGGCTGATACATTGTTTTCCTTAGCAACCAGATGCAGCAGGAAATTGGATTGAGAAAAAGAATTTTAACACATTTACACTTATTAACCTTTTATGCAATATCTCTTCAACCTAATAGCCTTAAAACTATATACTTAATGTTTGGAGTAGAAGAAAACTAGAAAGAGAAAGAGATGTTTTCGTTTGATCACCATTTATGACAAGATACACATTTCCCCCTCCAGTTATACAGGTGTGTGGTGATTAATATGGTTTCCAATTTATTCTTCCTTTTATCTGGCTACAACTAAAGCTGGTCAAACTCAAAATAAGTTATAATTCAGGAAGTATTTTGCACCTCTGATCACACACACACAGTAGCTACTCCTTTCTGTATTTTTGATATACTGATGGATCTCTTGAAATGAAGCTGAGAACTAAAGTTCTGGGTTGAAATGAAGTTTAATCTCAGAAAGCAGTAGACACTGCAGATATTTTGGACAATTGGGCAAATTCTTTTCTCTAGGAGACTATCCTCTGAGACTTAGCAAAGGAGCCAGAAATGAGCTTGAGGGCAGAGAAGTTTCTCCGTGGGAGGGGGAGCATTGGCTGATAGGAGACTGGGTGAGAGCAGAGAAACCTAGAAAGTTTGGGGCCCAGCCTCTACAAAGGCTGCTCGAATGCAGGTGATGGATACCCTTTGATCATCTTCCCAGTTGTACTGTTGATTGTATAAGGAAGGTAAAATATTTAATGATTACATTAGGGAAAAACAAAACTTTCTACTAATTCCCCAGGCCAAATAAAATACACAAAGATTTGGGAGAAAAGAAATTTTATTGCCAAGTAAGTATGAGGAAGGAAATTTAATCTCCTCTTTATTTTAACCATCTGGCTTTAATTATGCTGTATATGGCAATTATTGAGACCCTGTGGTTTAGAAACCCAATACTCATACAGTATGATACATTCAGAAGCCTGCAAGAGAGCTCTGATTAGGTGAAGCAACAAATTGCAAATTCTGCTTTCTAGCTACTAAATTTAAACTGGACTTAACTTCTGAAGCCCAGAAATTAGTGATCTTTCTCTGTGAAAGAAAACGATACATGAAATAGTGAAAAACAAAAAGGGACAGTCCTCATATTCCATTGCAGTAATTTTTTTGTTGTTGCTGATATTGGAGTTTGAACTTAGGGCCTGTGCTTGCTAGCAAATACCTCCAGCAGTCCATTGCAATAAGTTGAAAAAGGTGAGATTGAAAAGATGAATAAGTATGGATTAATTTTAAACTGTCAGAGAATGTTGAACAAAGAAAAGTGATAAAGGAAAGCAATTATTTTATTAAAAAGTAAGAAATTCATTTAAAACTAAATTTGCTCTAGGCTTTGATTCACTATAAAATCTTATAAAACACTGCATTGATTATATTTCCCAGTAGTCTCATATATGTTCCATATATTATACTGAACTTGATAGTACAGATAGGATTTTACCTCTTCTTTAATATGTATCATATTTATATTATACTTGTGTATATACATATGATGTATATATATCCATATGTACATATATGTATGTACTGACCCATGTGTCATTGATACCATGTGCCAACAGAAAGTTAAATTATATGAAATATAATTGAGCTACTTATTAAAGCCTAAAAAGTATAAATTTTAAGGTCTATTTCAAGTAGAGTTGGAGATGGAAATTTTTTTCAGTTATTTAACTTTTATTTATACTGTATATATTTTCCTGTCTAGCATATCAGTTTTATTTGAGAAGAAGGGATCACATGGATGTTTTCCTGCATCCATGTTTGTGTACATATTCTTGCTTGGATGTCTATTCTTTTTTCCTTTGGGCCAATCTGAGCACTGGCACATGGTAATCTCTCAGATTTTGGCTAGAAAGAAATGTTAGCCATACTTTGAAGACTATCCTCCCAACCTCATGTCATTTCCTATAGTCCACAATGACCACTTCTTTCTCTGAACAGTGTATTTGGTAGCTCTCATAAGTGATCTTACATATTTTCCTTGTTAATACATATCTTGTCTCACTGACTGTGATATTAGGTCTCGTGCTTACCTGTATCCTCATTGCACCTAGCTCAATGCAGTGGCCATACACGTATAATACTTATGAGTATTAAGTATAGTCACTTAAGTATTACATCATATTTCTTTGGTATATTTCTTTGCTACTTAGAAAATACTTGAGTATTTGCTTACCTTAAACTTAATGGGCAATAAGAATTTAATTATTTTTAAATTTTATTTAATGAAAATTCAGCCAAATAGTTTGCATTTTGAAGAAAAAAATATGGTAGTGTTATTAGACAAACACTTTAAAAATTTCATCATTGTACTTGACTCCATCTAAAAATATTATCTAATATGTAGCACTGTAGTAAAAGCTTGGAATAATCACATTATTTTTCCTCTTAAAGTTTAAAGCAGAATAGTTTTTTTTCTTTTTATACAAAAAAAAACCCTTAAAAATTAGTTTTTAAAAGTATGTTTTTTCTGTAGCTTCTCTATGCCAAGGCCTCAGTTTCATTTCAAAAGATTTCTTTATATAGCTTGAAGCTGTACTTTTCAGTTAGTGACAAGAGCTTCTGAATAAATTTACATGGCTAAATCACTTCAAACATGTGAGTGCTAAATATTTTTACCAAGTGCTGTCCTTAAATTTTAATAATGCCTCTTTTTTACATAGTGACCAGCGTTGGCTGTGGATAGGTTTGAATAAAAGGAGCCCAGATTTACAAGGGTCCTGGCAATGGAGTGATCGTACACCTGTAAGTTAAAACTTAATTATTGGGGAGATATGGAAGGCAAGTTTGAATAGCAAGTAAGTTGATTATTAAATAATGAATCCACACCCAAAATTCATATGGAGCCACAAAAGACCTTGAATAGCCAAAGCAGTATTGAGTAAAAAGGACAAAGCTGAAGGAGTCATTCATGGAACTTCAAAATATGTATTACAAAGCTATTGAATCCAAAATATCAGGGTATTACCATAGAAACAGACACATAAACCAATGGAAAAGAATAGGAAGCCCAGAAAGAAACTCACATATTTATAGCCAAATAATTTTTGACAAAAATGGTAAGAACACACAATGAGGAAGGATAATGCCTTTAATAAACAGTACTGGGAAAACTGGATACCCACATGCAGAATAATGAAATTAGATCCTTATCTCACACCATATAAAAAATCAACTCAAAGTGGATTAAAGACTTAAACATAAAACCTCAAACTATGAAACTACTAGAAGATGGCATAGAGGGAAAGTTTTGTGATAGAGGTCTGGGCAGTAATTTCTTAGATATGACTACAAAAGCACAAACAACAAAAGCAAAAATAGACAAATGGGATTACATCAAACTATAAAGTTTCTGTACATCAAAGAAAACAATCAACAAAGAGACAGTCTCCAGTGGCTTACACGTGTAATTCTAGCTACTCAAGAGGCAGAGATCTGGAGGATCATGGTTCGAAGCCAGCCCAGGCAAATAGTTCACAAGACCCTATTTCAAAAAACCCTTCATGAAAAAGGGCTGGTGGAGTGGCTCAAGTTTTAAACCCTGAGTTCAAACCCTAGTACTGAAAAAAAAAGAACAAATGGTTAATATCGAAAATTTGCAAGAAACTGAAGCAATTCAGCAACAAGAGAACAAATAAATCTGTTAAAATGGGCAAATGGCCTGAATAGACATTTCTCAAAAGAAAATATTCAGGTGCCCCAGAGATACATGAAATCATTCCCAAGATCATTAATCATCAGGGAAATACAAATCAATATCACAATTAGATATCATCTCACATCTGTTAAAATGTCTGTTGACAAAAAGACAAAAGATAAAAAGTTTCAGCAAGGGTGTGAAGAAACTGTTGTGGAAACGTCAATGTAGCCTTTATAGAAAACAGTGTGGACATTGCTCAAAATATTAAACATAGAACTACCATATGATTCAGCAATCCCGCTACTGGAAGTATAGTCAAAGGAAATAAAATCAGTATTTGAAGGAATACCTGTGCTCCCATGTTTGTTTATGGTAGCATTATTCACGATAACCAACATAGAGAATTAACCTAAGTGTCCATCAGCAGATGAATGGATAAAAGAACTGTGGTGCATATATATATACAATGGAATGCTATTCAACCACTAGCAACAATATGGGTGAACTTGAGGTGTGAGTATTAATTAAAATAGGCCAGGCACAGAAAGACAAATACTGCCTGATTTCATTCACATGTAGACTCTAAAAATGTTGATCCCAAGCCAGCTGCTAGTGGCTCACACCTGTGATCCTACTTGGGAAGCTGAGATTGGGAGAATCATGGTTTGAGACCAGCCTGGGCAAATAGTTCATGAGACCCTATCTCCAAAATCACTAGAACAAAATGGACTGAAGATGTGGCTCAAGTGGTAAAGCGCCTGCTTTGCATTGCAAAGCATTGAGTTCAAACACCAGCGCTCCAAAAACAAAACAGGAAGCAAAAAACCCAAAGCAAAACAAAAAACCATATGTGTAGTTTCGCTTTCTGTAGTCCAAAAAGATAAAACACAGGTCATCTTTGGGTACTACAAATGACTTTTTTCCCAAGCTTTTCTTTGTATTGCTTTTTATTGTTTTTTTCATAATGAAAAGCTTTTATTTTTATTATCTAAAAACATGAGCTATGTAAAAAATAAAGGATCTTTCTTCAAAGAAATAATTTGCTTGGGGAAACCTAAAAAATTCCTTACATATTATTTCAAATGCTTGTATTATCCTAAAGAGAGGTTTTACATAACACTTATAGGTGTAAATTTTTCACATATTCAATATTTGTACCATCATTGCATCAATTCCTTTTGTATTCTTTCTTAATGCAGGATTCCTGGCTTTTATTTTCAAGTTGGAGTGAATCTAATTAGTTGATCAAATGACCAGCATTGCAACACATGCAAAGGGGGGGAAAAAAAGGCTCTTTAGCAAGCTGTTGGTTCTCTGACTCCAACAGTGAACTTAATACACCATTAACCTCCACTTCTGAAACTGTGGCTTCCCTTGTTTGGAAATTTATGACATTTTCTAAGTCCTCTCATGATTTAGCATCCCGATTTAAAAAAAAAGGGAAAATTTTTTTTCTGAGGCAGATGAACATGCTTGACTTATTAAAGCAGCTTAAAATTACATCTAAATTGCAAATATTTATACATCAGTCTTAAATTCTCAAGGCTCGCTTATCTTCCCAGGTGTCTACTATTATCATGGAAAATGAATTTCAGCAGGATTATGACATCAGAGACTGTGCTGCTGTCAAGGTCAGTACAGAACTGGAAAATCTGCACTAAAAACATTAGGGCAAGGTGGCTCACACCTATAATCCCAGGTATTCAGGAGGTGGAAAGCAGGAGGATCACAGTTTGAGGCCAGCCTGGGCAAAAATTTAGCAAGACCTCCCTCTCAACAAAACAAAACTTGTCATCCCAGCTACGTGGATGGCCATAGGTAGGAGGAATGTAGTTCAGGCCAGGACCGAGGCAAAAACGTCAGACCCTATCTGAAAGATAACCTAAAAGTTAAGAGTAAAAAAAAAAAGACTAGAGACATGGCTCAAGTGGCAGAGCATTTGCTTGCAAGACCCTGAGGCCAAACTCCAGAACCACCAAATCATCATCATCACCATCATCCCAGGGGCTGAGGTTGTACCTCAGTGGTAAAGTGCATGCTTTGGGTTGAGGCCCTGGGTTCAATCCCCAGTACCACAAAAAAAAAAAAAAAATCTGGCATTGTGTGCAAGTCAGGCAGCACATCCATGGGGTGATTTTTGTGTGTGGAGCATGATGTTGGGTACAGTGTAAGAACAGGAGATAAGTACATCCTGAAGCAGCCTAACTTGTACTTAATTTGAGAAAATAAAATTCATATTCAAGAAAGACAGCTTTATCATTAATATGCAGTAACAAGTTTTAAATGAGTGGGCTTATAAGGGCTAATACAACTCAGAATAGGAAATGATCTCTGTGACCTATTTCCAGAAAGAGAGGTGGAACTTGAACTGGGTCTCTAAGGATAAACAAAATTTGTGCAGGAGAGATAGGGCAAAGCTTTCTAGTGGGGAATGGTATGAGAAGATGGCATAAAATAAGGTGGGAGTGGAAGGAAGGGGGTAGGGCAGTAAGGAGAACAAAATATACATCAAGAAGTTTCATTTGATGCTGTGTTAAAAACAACATTGGGAAATTAAATCAGTGCCAGGTTAAGGTGATGAATGTTTTTTGATAGTCAACAGGACATTTAAAAAAAAAAAAGTTCTGAGGAAGGGTGACATGAACCACACTCTTCATACTCTTGTATGAAGAGATTTACCTTGAGACCTATTTCAAGATGCAGCGGATAGGATTAGAAGACATAAAAGACTCACTAGACATCTTTCGTTGCAGAATTCACTCACTTATCCATTTCATAAGCAGTACGTTTAGGGTCTATGAGGCTCTGGGGAATATAACAATGACAAGGTATAAAGCATAGTCACAGAGCTTTCAGTCTAGCAGAACATAAGGGCAATTAAACAAGCCGTGATAGCAATGGGTAAGAGATCTGACAGGAAAAACACAAGTCATATGCCAGAACAAAGTTATTAATGAGAGAATAATAACAAGGATGGCGATAATGATGGCAGTGTTGGCAGCAGTGATAATTTATTGACTCCTTTGTGAGCCAGGCACTGAGTTAGGCATATTACATATATTATTTCACTTAATACTTACAGAACCTTATGAGGTTTGAGTAACTTCCCCACGGTTAGATAGTGACAAAATTGAAACTCAAACATGTCTGGGTGCAGTACCCTAACCACTGTGCTGTGTGACTAGACAGAAATAGGCAGAAGGTATAGTGGTTTATAAAGAATATGGTATATTTTAGCTTAAACAGTTCAAATCCAACCTAGGCATAAGATATATTGTATAGTAAGTTGAAGTCTAGAGATTAGAGTTAAAGAAAAAAATGAATATTTTAAAAAACAAAGGGCAAAGAAGTAGTTTTGAGGGAACTACCAATATATAAAGTAAAAGTTAAGTGAGGGAGGAGACACTGATGATACTATCTCTCTGTAGCCCAAGAATGAAGATTAGAAATATTACAGAAAGATTGGGGCAAATAAAAATTGAGAAAGCCATTGGAAAACACTGTTTTCAAAGTAACTCTTCCATATTAAACTGTTACAGTATCATGCCATTTTTAAAGACTTCCTAATGAAACACAGAAAAGATAAAAACATCATAGAAGTTTAGGAAGTTGTCAGGAGTGTCACGAATACTGAGACAATAAACTATGTCCTATGTAAATAGAATTTACACATATGGAGAGGTTTGAAAACCTACTAAAAACTAAACAGAAGGGACACCAATGCAACCTGCATCAGGAACAAGCCCAGCAAGGGCAATATTCTGTAAGGAGACTCTTACCTCACCTGCCACAATACCCACCAGAATTTTGACCGTATGAGAAAAGAGTCCAAAACGTAGTGGGTATCCCTCCCAGGTCATGCCTTCCTCTTTTTTTTCTCTCCTACTTGTTGACTGGAATTTGCCATGAGCCACACTGGGTCATGTTGGGATGAGAAACCTAGAAATGATAGAGCAACACCAAAGATGGAGTGTGAGCTACTGAGCCCAGACATTTTTTTTAACATTATTATTAGCATGTATTAGTTGTATAAGAAGGTTTCATTGTGACATTTGCATATGTGCTTACAATGTATCTTAATTAGATTCACTCCCTCCATCCTGGCTCTTCTCCCCTCCCTACTTCATAGAACAAATTTCAACAGGTTTCATTGTTCTTTTTCATATACATGAGCCCAGACTTTTGTCACTTTATGATCTGCTCTGGTTAGTCAGGTGCTTGAATACCACTGAAATATTCTTTTCTAGTTTGGGTTTTCCCGAATTTTAAAAGTGCGAGATTCTACTATTTCATGTCAACAAAACCAGGAGGGAAAAAGACAATAATTAGAATTTTGGACATAAACATGACCTTATAATATATTTCATCAGTTCTCTTTGAAGCTTTTTTCTCAGGCTGTTCCTGTTTAAACATCCCATTAATTCATCTGTTCCTTTATTCCACAACTGTCTTAGGTGCTACAATTTAAGTAGAGGTCAAGCCCATAGGCCTTACAGCTCAGTGTTTCATAAGGAGTGCATCATTTTCAAGATAATCTGCCATCTTTTTCCTGCTTTAGGTAACTCACAGGCCATGGCGAAGAAGCTGGCATTTCTTTGATGACAGGGAGGTTATTTATTTGAGGCCTTTTGCTTGTGATACAAAACTTGAATGGGTCTGCCAAATTCCAAAAGGTAAGTGGTTGTTTTTCCTTTTCACAACCCTCTTATGTTAACATTGTGAATGCTGAGCTTAGCAGTACCTATGAGAGCATTTTAGCTTACAATTGCAATTTTTAAAATCCTATGAGATGCAGTTAATATATTCAGTATCGCCCTGCCTGACTCCCTCCCACTCCTAGTAGAAGTCTAGCTTATTGCAATTTGGTGATTACTGTCTGATCATGGAAGAATTTGTATAGGAAATAGAATGTAAGACTTAGGGAAATTAGATACTAGAATGAAAGATTATTTTAATAAAAGGAGAGATGTTGTAGAGGGAATCATTTTAAATTTTACTTTGATGCAAAATGAAGCACATTCCTTTTTTTTTTTTTCTTTTTGGCAAAACTGAGGTTTGAACTCAGTGCTTCATGCTTGCTACACATGCACTCTACCACTTGAGACATACCCCTCTCCCAAAATTAAAAACAAAATGAAAATAATTGAGAAGAATGAGGCAGGAAGCAAGAAATCATAATTTGGCAGGTACATGTAAAATTTAGAAGCTATTTCAATGATCTCTAAAACTGCTGATACTTTATAGACGTTCACATTCAGGAAACCAGTTAGATTAGTAGTAGAGCCATCAGTGACCAAAAAAAAGGAGGTTAAGTGTGGTAGCGCATATCTATAATCCCAGCACTCAAGAGGCTGAAATAGGAGGATTACAAATTCAACAACCGTCTGGCTACTTAGTGAGGCCCTGTCTCAAAAAACCAAAGGCCAAGAATATAGTTTAGTGGTAGAGTGCTTTGGCTAACATGCACAATTCCCTGGGTTTGATAGCCAGCACTGAAGGAAAAAAACAAAGAGAAAGAGAGAGGGAAAGAAATAGACATCCTTTTATTTAGCTTTTTACTAGGAAAATGTTATAGAAATATTAAGAAAAATATTTTTAAAATTTTACTTCACAAATTATTGTTAAGGAAGCATAAGATCAATTAAATAGTGGAAAACACACAAAGTTCTGAAATGAATTTCTGAACTGAATATAAGCAGAATATTGAAACTAAAGGTATTTCCTCCTATAAACTCTCAAAGAACTCAGTTTGCATCATGGAGTTGCCTATTCAAAGTCATTCTTTTTCCTAAAAAGGACCATCAAGTTGCCTTTGCATAGCTTCCAATGTGATGTTAGGCACAACTGACAAGTCTCTCACCAAGGCAGACTGTCAGGCACCAGTAAAAGTGTGTGTGTATGCCAGTGTGTGTGTTGATGGGGTTTCCTAAAGAGGAAATTATGCCTCATTATTCCTGATTATTTGATTAACTAGCCTGAAGGGAAGGAGGGAGGAAGGAAGGGGGGAGGGCGGGGGGGAAGGAAGGAAGGAAGGAAAGAAAAAAGAAAGAACCATTGTTCCCTCCAAGGTGTGTTCATCGGTAGCTGGTACCCCAATCTCCTGTTTGAGTGGTAGATCAGACCCAAGAGTTTAAACAAGAGTAGCCTTAGAAATGACGAACCAGTAACTATTATACTATTCCCTAATAGTATAAGAGCATACATATATACATACGTGTGTGTGTGTGTGTGTGTGTGTGTGTGTGTGTGTGTGTGTGTATGGTATCCCTTTTCCCCATGAAGAAACAAAATAAAAACTAAATAACTCCCTATCATTTGAAACAATTCCCAGTCATTTGAAGCAATAGCAATGATTGCTTAATCCAGGATTGGTTTCTTTTCTCTTTTTTTGCAGTACTAGGAATTGCCAGGTAAGCACTGGACCACTCGAGCCATGGCCCTAGCCCTTTTTCTTTTAGTTTGTTTTGTAGACAGAGCCTTGTACTTTTGCCCAGACTGACCTTGAACTGATATCCTTCTACCTCTGCTCCCGAGTAGCTGGGATTATAGGCCCATACCACCACATCCATCTTGATCCAGGGTTTAAATATTTTATTAACTCTCCTTTGACAGTACCTAAATTTCTGTGTTTACAATGTATACAATAATAGTTGGATATTTTTCTTGGTTATAAGAGCAGCTAAAGTCTGCTTGTATTAATCTGTCTTTTCTAGTTTTCTTAAAGAAAATTTCCTTTTCAGAAAAAGTCACCAAGCCTCTCTTTGTCTTTTTATTACCTGAGTCTAATTAGTTGTCTCTTTTCTAAAAGGGATATTTTGACAGCCTATAAATTTTTAAGTAGCCATAATTTCTATGGATATATATTCTTTTTAAGTATTTTTTAATTGAGAAAATTGTCAAAAATAAGACTCATAAAAATAGTGTCAGGGAAATTTCCTACAATACCTCTATGTAAACACAGCTATTTTTATTATATTTCTTGATGCTTTATGCATATATATTCATAATCTTGTGTAAAAAAAAAAAAAACAAAAAACACCTTGCATTCTGCTTTCCCCACTAATTTGAAGTTACTTAGAGGTTAGGTATACCTTCCCGAACACACAAAAGTCTTTGACTGTACATTTTTAACTGACTTAAAGTCCCCTTGATGGAAATTATCCAACACAGAGAGAGTTGACTCAGAGAGAAAAACCAGTGATACTGGATATATAGACGGCTAGTCCTCTGCAGAGGTGCTGCTGATGCATTAGGCCCAATGACCGCAAAATTAAGAACAGCTATTTTCCCTGTCATTTCTAAGATTAATCTAATTATACTTTTGACTTGAAACCAGTGCAATCCACAAACAGGAGGGAAAGGGGACAGGAAGTAACCAGGGTTGTTGTTGTGTAAGCTGCTCTGTGCCTGGCGCTGCCCAGGTATTTCTTAGGGGCAGCCATGTGATCCTCACACTGACTGTGAATTGGGCCTCATTTTCACCAAGTAGAAAATTGAAGGGCAGGGAATTAAATAGTTCATCCAAAGAACAGCAACAACAAAACATTTAATCTACCTAGCATACCAAATTCTCTGCTCCCATTCAGGAATCCAAAGGAAATTTTATTATTTTCTTCCTATCTTTATTTCACCTTTTCAAAAGGTTAGATAGTGAATCATTGTTCATTTTTTCCAATGCCCTCTTGGGAGTATATCACTCCAGTTTTACAGAACAACTACTCAAATTTCATTAGAATAGAGACTTGTTCCTAAATCACCTAATCCTATAACACTGTGTACCCCTTAGTGCTTCTGTGTAATATTTACAATATCATCATTCCTCATTTTTCTTTCTAATTACTAGCTATATTTATTCTGTCTAGTCCTGATTGTGACTTCCATGATACAAAGTGAAAGACTACTGACTGTCACTGGTGCCTCAGAACTGTAATCCTAGCTCCTTAGGAGACTAAGTTCAGTAGGATCATGGTTTAAAATCGGCTTGAGCAAAATGTTTTCAAGACCCCAATCTCAACCAATAGCTGGGGGCAGTGGTACATGCCTGTCATCCTAGCTATGGTGGGAAGCATAAAATAGGAGGATTCCAGTCCAGGCCTCCTTTATCTCCAAAATAACCAGAACCAAAAGGGTTGGAAGCATGACTCAAGCATCTGTCTAGCAAGTGCAAATTCCTGAGTTCAAACCCCAGTACTACCAAAAAACAAACAAACAAACAAAAAAACAAAACACAACTAGTAATTTTGTGTGTGTGTGTGTGTGTGTGTGTGTGTGTGTGTGTGTGTGTGTGTGTGTAGGGATTGAAGCCAGGGCCTCGCGCATGCTAAGCAAGCTCTTGACCACAGATCTACATCCCCAGCCATAGACTACTAGTAATAATTTATTAATGTTTAGCAGATCTGCTTTTTTGACTGTCACTGAAGCAGCTTTAGGATAAGATCTATAAAATTCAACTCACATGATCTTAATTTGACATGAAATGGTTTGGTCAGAAATGAATAAGCCTCTACAGTCTATAAGTCCCTTGGAGCTACATGAAAGGCCCCGGTTATGGTAAGCCATGATCTGTAATCCAGTACTAAACTTAAGCCATTTGCTTTCTTCCTTATGTAGGCAGTATTCCAAAGATACCAGACTGGTACAATCCTGGTGAGTTAAGAAAACTGAAATTTAATCAAAACTGTTTTCTTTTGGTAATGTATGTGGTTAATTATTTAAGTGCCAGGTTCATCTCTATCACATCTTCATGTGAAATAAAATGAAGGGGAGTGGATGGAATGGCTGAGACAATGAGACTGTATTTTCCTTCTCTACAGGAGAATAGCAGAGTCACTAGCTCAGGAATCCTTAGTTCCTTGCAATCAACACTGCCCCAACGAGAGCCACGAATCTCCATGGCTTACCATGTTCATTAGTTTTCTGTTAGTCTAGCAAAACACTTGAGATAATAACTTAAAAATAGAAAAGATTTATGTTGGAGGTTTCAGACCATGGTCTGTTGGCCCTATCACTTTTGGATCTGGTGAGGCAGTAAGTACATTCTGTGGCAAGGAGCATGTGCTATAACAAGCTCTTCGCCTCATGGTGGCTAGGGAGCAAAAGAGAGAAAAAGAGTCACCATGGTGCCAGTATCCCCTTCAAGGACATACCTCATCTGATCAGAAGACTTCCAACCAGGCTACTTCTTAAAAGTTCCATCCCTCTCCAAATAGTGTCATGGACTGAGAACTGAGCTTTTAACATGGGCTTTTGGGGGATACTATGTAAACCATAGCAGTTACTACTTATGACTAGTTTTGAGCATTACTCCATGCTTAGAGGGTATGGTTTGGTCGGCACAGTTGTAACTCTGATCTTCTTCTCTAGAGCGTGCTGGAATTCATGGGCCTCCAGTTATAATTGAAGGAAGTGAATATTGGTTTGTTGCTGATCCTCACTTGAACTATGAAGAAGCCGTCCTGTATTGTGCTAGCAATCACAGCTTTCTTGCTACCATAACATCTTTTACAGGACTAAAAGCCATCAAAAACAAAATAGGAAATGTAATTTAAAAGAACTCATTTTAAAATATAGTTCTTATTTTCATGTTTATTCTATTAAAATATTTCTAAAATCTACAAAGATTAAATGTTTCTCTAAAGTAAGATTTTCCTTCTAACATCTGAATTCATTATTTCATGTTTGAAAAGTTAAATAGAATTGCTTAATATTTTTAAATGTATACAATTAATGATAAATACCAGTTTATGACATGAGCGTCAGTAGCTAATAAAAATGATTCTAATTCCTTACTATGTTTTTTTTAACTAAAAGCTTCATAGTTAAGTTTCTGATTCTAATAATAAGTAAATATGCAAAATAGCTTTGGGGCAGAAAAATTGTATATTTTAAAATTTGTAGTTACTTTACTGCATGCCCAATTAACATGTATGTTTCATTACTTGCAGTAGCATATGCCTACAATGATAGCAACTATATTTTCTGTACCTGCATTAGAACCTATAAGTATATAAAATAGGGTCTGTCAAATTAATTTTTTGGTGAAAAATCCTGGCTTGTGTAATTTTTGAGACCAGATAATAGAATATCTGGAAATTTTAGTGATTTGTGGTAATAATAAAGTCTTCTTGAAAATTCAGCACATGTAAGGATGGATTTTTGGTTTGTTTTTCAGATATCTGGTGATGAACAGAAGTGGTGGGTGAGAACTAATGAACAGCCAATCGATCGTTATTTTATATAGTACGTAACATCATTGATTCTGCCTTTGTAAATTTATCACTTTAAAGAAGCAGTCCCAGATTACCTTTGACTAAATGGATTACTATTTATAAACATTTTGAACACCAATCCATAAACTGCCTACTTTAGAAAAACCAAGATCCTTTACATGTTAATGACAAGAAAAAGATGGTATAAAATGATGGCATTAACATTAAGTTCAAAATTAAAATAGCTTAGAGAAGAAAAAAGAATGGAAGATCTAAATACACTATGAATTGTCACATCCCTTATTTACTTTCAGCTCACGACATCCATGGCACCACTTTCCTATGACATTTGGAGAGGAATGCTTGCACATGTCTGCCAAGACTTGGTTTATGGGTAAAGTTAACTCCAGATCCTTTAATGTTGATTATGTAATGTGTGAACTTCAGGCTCAGCTACTAGCTTACTTTTGTTTCCTTTTTTTTTTTTTTCTTTTTCTTTTTTAGTTTTTAAAGTGGTACTGGAGTTTGAACTTGGGCCTCATGCTTACTAGGCAGGTGCTCTACCACTTGAGTCAAGCCCCCAGCCCTCTTGTTTCTTTTTGAGTATATATATATATATATGGCAGCTTCACCTTATTCTGATTTATGTTAATGACAATAGTTCAGATTCCATATGCAAATAAAGGTGCTTTTCAATATTGCTGGTTTAATTTCCTTGATAGGCAACAGCTTAAGACAGTTGCCTTAAGACACTGTGGTCCTAAAACATAGTTTATGTGCTGGGTGCTGGTAGCTCACATGTGTAATCCTAGCTACTCAGAAGGCAGAGATCAGGACAATCGTGGTTCAAAGCCATCCTGGGCAAATAGTTCCTGAGACCCTGTCTTGAAAAACCTTTTACAAAAATAGGGCTGGTGGAGTGGCTGAAGGTGAAGGTCCTGAGTTTAAGCCCCAGTACTGAAAAAAAAAAAAAACATAGTTTATGTCTCCCTCATTAGACTTATCTTTCAAATGCTTCCTATTTCTTGTTACTCTTCAGGTGGTGTGGTAGTTACACCAAGCCTGCCATCCTCCTCCTCCTTCCCTTCCTCCTCACCCTGCCCTTCTTCCTTTGTAGTACTGGGGGTTGAATTCAGGGCCTCCCTTTATGCTTGGGCCATCTGGACCTCGATTCTCCTATTTGCACTTCCTACAGTAGCTGGGATGACAGGCAGGTGCCACAGTGCCCAGTCATTGGTTGAGATGGGATCTTGCAAACTTTTTGCCTCAACTGGCCTTGAACCATGATCCTCCCAATCTCCCAATTAGCTAGCATTACAGGCTTGGGCCACCGCATCAGCTCCATCATGTACTTTTTTATAGGCAATATTGTTTTATAGGCAATATTACTACCAATATGAGTAATAATAGAACACGGAAATAACTAGCAAAAACGGAGAATATATTTTACCATGTGGGAAAGATCTAGGGTTGGAGGTGTAGCTAAGAAGTAGAGCCTGTGCATAGCACATGCAAGCTCTGGCTTCAATCTCCAGCCAAAAATAAAAAATAAAAATAAAATAACAACCTTTCTTTAGTAATAGTTCTTTTTAAAAAAAATTATGAATGAAAAATTCTCACTATTCCAATTCTGCTTTTATTTCCTCAGACTTAAATAAACCAACAGACTGTAATACCAAGTTGCCATTCATCTGCGAAAAATATAATGTATCTTCATTAGAAAAATATAGTCCAGATTCTTCAGCTAAAGTACAATGTTCTGGGAGTTGGATTTCTTTTCAGAATAAGGTAAAAAAGAGAATTGCTACATTGTGCAAGCAATGATTGCTTTCATGCTGGTTGTGTGGCCTATGGCAGAAGGGCAGTCCATCACACAGCTTCACTAAGATGGCTTCTGCATATGTTGGTATCCCACCTGATCCTCTCTGCTGCCAGAAACCATGGGTGATATCAGTAGCTAACTCTAAAGTTAGTTATGCCTGTAGGTCTTTCCAGGAACAGTATATCTATTCCATTGCTACCAACATTCAAATTGCTGAGGTTGATCTGTCTATGGGTAGTAATCTCTGTGGCATGTAGCAAACTGACTTAATTTCTGGCTGCTGTTTTCTTTTTCCCCTCAAGGAGAAAATCTAAACAGCATGTGCCAATCAAATTAGATCAGCATTTCCCAAACTACTCTTCAGAGACTACAGATATGCTACAAAAAATTAGTCGTTGATTTTGCTTCCAAATGGCAGTTTTATGATTAAATAGGTTGGGGAAATGCTGCATTCTGTGTCTGTCTCTTTGAGATGCATAATCCATATTGGTATATGTATCTGTTAGGAAATACATTTGACTGCTAAGAAGAAATCACCACAGTATATTAAAACTTTTATTATACTTTAATCAGATTAATCCCCTCTGTGAAAACAATATTTTGTAGGATGTTTTAAGGAACATCATTTGGGGCATACCACTCCACATTAAAGTAACTGTAATGTCAAAAAGAAAAAGTAAGAGATATGTTTGGCAGCTGAAGACATCTGTGGTAAATTTATGGGTACATTTTTACTTTAGATATAAGGGTTTTTTGTTGTTGTTATGGTTTGGTTTGGTTTTTTGGTGCTAGAGGTTTAGCCCAGGAACTTGTACATTGTACTATCACTGAGCTGCACATCCAGCCCTATTTTGACTTCTAAAAATGAAAACAATCTTTTTAATTCCCCAAGATGAACTGGGGCTCTGATAATTTGCATAGTTGATGTAAACTTGAGCTAAGAGCTGGGATTGGCACAAGTGATAGAACACCTGTCTAGCAAGTGCAAGGCCATGAGTTCAGCATCCAGTAACACACACACACACACACCACCTTGAATTAAATCTCTTGCCCAGAGAAAGACTGATGCTTCCTTTAAAATGTGGTTCTTGATTTGGAGAGGTGATTAACAGCACAGAATTTGAAATCAAATTTAACAGAACCCTACCACTTTGTAGCTATTTTGCTTACGGGTCAAGTCATTTAACTTTCCTGTATCCCAGTTTTCCCCGTAATTGTGAAAATTAAATAACACTACCAAAGCTAGCACATAGGAGGTACTCAATAAGTGGGAGATTTTGTAATAGTTTAAAGACCACTCTTCAGTTGTTTATATTAAAGTATAAACCTGAATTATTCTCCTCCTCCTCCTTCTTTTCCTCCTCCTCCTCCCCTCCCCCCACCCTTCTCTTTTTTTTTGTACTACTGTGGTTTGAACTCAGGGCTTTGTGCTTGCAAACCAAGTGCTCTACTGCTTGAGTCACACCTCTAGTCTTAAACCTGAATTCTTGCAGTACTACTTGGTAAATTCCATATCTCACAAGTAGAATATTAACAACCCTCTAAAAGTGAGATATTTACTTCTTATGTGCTTTTTTGTGTCTGGAATCTAATGCTTCCTTTGTGTCTTTGTTTACAGTGCTTCCTAAAGATCAAACCCCAGTCTGTTACATTTTCTCAAGCTAGCAACATCTGTCACTCCTATGGCGGCACCCTCCCTTCAGTGTTGAGCCAGAGTGAACAAGGTACCAGAATGGTTTGGGAAACATGTTTTTTGTTTGTTTGTTTGTTGCAGTGCTGGGGATTGAACCCAGGGTTTCACAAGCTCCAGGCAAACCCAATACACTGAGACACATCCACCAAGAAACATGTTTTATGCTGATCTGGGAGTCACGTTAGCTTAGGGAGGCTATGGGGAAGTAACATATAAAATAATCTGTTTTTACAGAGTGGGTAGGCTATTTTGAAAGATAAGCAAAAGGTATTCATTGACATTTTAGTACAAGTATATCTTTAATTAAGTCAAATGCTTTTTTAAAAAAAATCTCTTTTTTAATAGATTTTATTACATCCTTGCTTCCTGAGATGGAAGCTAATTTATGGATTGGTCTGCGTTGGACTGCTTATCAAAGAATAAACAAATGGATGGATAACAGAGAGCTGACATACAGCAACTTTCACCCATTGCTGGTTGGTCGGAGGCTGAGTATACCAACAAATGTAAATTTTATTTGAGTAAATAATCTATACAGTGCTGTGAAATACATGAGTCTCCTGTAAATGATTCGATTAAGATATGATTCTGTTACACGACATGTTCAGAGGAGGCAAGTTTATAAAGACAAAAAGCAGATTATGGCTGCTGGAAGATGAGGACAATTTAAGGATTGGGGATAACGGCATAGGGTATGGATGTCTTTTTTACAGAGGTGAAAATATCCTAAAATTGATTGGAGTAACAGTTGTTCAACTCTGAATACACAAAAAATTATTGAGTGGTTACTCTAAATGGGCAAATTGCATCCTGTGTAAATTATAGCACAATAAAGATGTTACATGAACAGTAACATGTGCTCCATAACCCAGCCTGAAGTACATAGCTTGGTTTTTCACAGCACACAGATTCCACAGTGCTTCTTTCACAATACATAAACATATGCAGTAGTGGTTAGAAACAAAAACAGATATAAATGTTTATTGAACATTTGGGAAGTGTGAGGTCAACCTCAGTTCCTGAGGCAAAAAAGACAAAATTGGTGATTGGTGATCATTTTCTCCTAAGAACTACATGTAACAAAGACAGACTTAATTTCTGGTGAATGTCTTCTTTAATCAGAAACAAGAGAAGGAAACAGAGTACTATTTTGACAATAGTTATGTTTGAAATCATGATATTATTGCCCACTGTTTTGCCTGACTACTTTCTTGACTCAGAGCATGTTGCATGAAGGACAAAGACTGGTAAGTTAATATAAAAGTCAACTTTCAAAAATATAGCCTAAGTAAAAACTAAGAGGGCCTAGCATGATGGTGAATGCCTGTAATCCTAGCTACTTGGGAGGCAGAGATCAGAGAATTTCAATTTGAGGCCAGCTGAGGCAAAAAAAAAAAGAAAGTTAATAAGGCCCTATCACAACAGACAAGCCGGGCATGGTGGTGTGTATTTGTAATGCCAGCTACTCAGGAAACTAATGTAGGAGGATCAAGGTCCCAGGCCAACCCTTGGGTAAAGTGTGAGACCCTATTTGAAAAATAATTAAAAGCAAAAGTGCTAGGCACATAGCTCAAGTGATAGAGCATTTGCCTAGCAAGCACAAGGCCATGAGTTCAAACCCTAGTAACATAAAAAAAAAAAAAAGTTGGTATTGCTAGCAAAATGAATACTGAATTTTGTTTAACAATGTACAAAGTAAATATGAAAATAAGACTTGGTTAGAATATAAAATGTGGAAGTTAAAGAAGAATAAAAGACACACACTCTCACACATGAAAAGTCAACCCTGGATCTACTTAAATTTAGGATAGTGGCTTTTAAACTTTCAGTCATAATCCATATTAAGAAATATATTGGGTTGGGGATGTAGGTGAGTGCTTGTACACTTGCCTAGTATATATGAGACCCTGGGTTAGGTCCTCAAAAAAGAGGAAGAGGGAGAGGGAAGAGAAAGGAATGAGTATGTGTTTAGTATTGTGGTGTCTGTAATTCTAGGCTGAGGTAGGAAGTTTGCAAGTTTGAGGCCAGCCTATATAGATATAATATTGAATTGAAACAGAGTTTCAGGAAACAGTACCTACCTTTAAAGATTATACATAGTGATGTTTTCATTCCATTCCATTCCATTCTCATTTCCTATCCTACCCTACCCTATTCTATCCTGTTCTCTTTCATTATCATATATGTCAGCCAGGATCATTGAATTGCTTTCATGACCTACTAAATGAGTTTCAAATCATACTTGAGCCCTAATCACAATGAATATTTCAGCAAATTTCATTCTAGAACTTTTCTATATGTTGTTTCCCTGACATTGATGATATCACAGCATAAGTGCTAATGTATTCTACTTTTCTTACATACTGTTATATCATATAAGTAGTTATATAAGCTAATAAAAGATCTACTTGAGGCCAGGCCCAGTGGCTCGTGCCTATAATCTTAACTATGGAAGGGAGAGATAGAGAATTGCAGTTCAATGCCAGCCTCTGGTGGGGAAAAAGTTAGTGAAGCCCTATCTCAAAGAACAAGCTGGGTGTGGTTGTTCTTGCCTCTGTAAGTCCAACTATATCGGAGGCATAAGTAAGAAGAATGTGGTCTGAGGCTGAGGCTGACCTGGGCAAAAAGTAAGGGACCCTATCTGAAAAAAGAGAACTAAAGCAAAAATGGTGGGGAGGGGCAGAGACATTGGTCAAGTGGAAGAGAGTTTGCCTACCAAACACAAGTCCCTGAATTCAAAACCCTAACACCATCGGGGTGGTAAGCACTTAAACATTTGCACACTTTTCTTGATAATGCCATTACTTACCCACCCAGTGCTGGCTATCAGGTGGTTTCCAGTTTTGCACAATCATAACTAGTACTGCAGTGAAAATTTTTGTGTAGAATCATTGCTTATATTTCAGGTTACCTCCTTAAGAGAATTGCTCTGGTTACCAAATTGCCTTTCCTTAAGGGTTTGTCGGTTTATACTCCTGTCAGCAATAGATTCTGATTGTCCTTCTATCCTCATAAATATGCTAATGCTTTCCAACATGCATTGAGCCATTAATACGTGCCTGAAACTCCACATTATTTCATTTAACGTGTACAATACTGTGAAATAGGTATGTTGTCTCTATCCAATCTTAGAAATGTGATGGCAGACAGGATCATGGAGCCTGTGTGAGAAGAACTGAGATTTAAATACAGGTCCAAGAGTCTGCAGAGCCAGTGTTCTTAGCTCCTCTACACATTGTCTCTAATGAGCATTAGCTCTTAAAAATTTGTACTAATCTCTCTCTTTCTCTCTCTCTCTCTCTCTCTCTCTCTCTCTCTCTCTCTCTCTCTCTCCTTCCTCCCCTCTACCAACCCTTCTCCTGCCTCTGCACATTTTAAGCAAGCACTCTACCACTGAGCTGCACCCCATCCCTGTATTTCTTATTTCTAATGAAAATAAACTTCTGTAAGTTACATAATAGTTTATATTTCATCAAGTGCGAATGTTCTTGCTTTGCAAATTTATCAAGTCCTTCCTGTAGCCTGGTGTTGTGGCTCATACTTGTAATCCTAGTAACCCTTGGGGCAGAGATAGGTAGGATGGCCATTAGAGGCCAGCCCAGGCAAACAGTCCATGAGATCCCCATCTCAACCAATAAAAAGCTGGGTGTGGTGTGTGCACCTGTCATCCCAGCTAGGCAGGAAGCACAATTAGGAGAGTCATGGTCCAGGCATTCTCCTCATTAAATATTCCCCTCATTAAGCATCATATAACAACTACATTTAGAACAGTGTCTGTAGTTCAGCAAACATCTACACAATATTTATTGAGTAACATGGTGTTTATTGTTTGTTTTTTTATTTTGTTGCTCTTGGTAAAAGTTTGTTTTTCTTATTTTTAAAAGTGTGATATGTTTTAAACATACAGAAAAATAATAGGGGCAGTGTTCTTTGAATATATTTTTCATATATAATATTAATTATAGAATTAAATCTACATGCTTTTAATATGCAGAGTTTTTTTATAGTGACTAGTATATGATCAAAACTTTCATATGAGATCTTTGTTATATGGTACAGTTTGTCATTACAAAAAGTTTATAAATGTTTAGTAGGTTGAGTTAATAATCATGCTTTTTGCTTACTTGAATTGTCAAAACTGATAGCAGAGTATCATTGTTATTTTGTCTTATTTCTAACAGTTTTATTTATCTGTTTGAAATGTATTTATCAATATTGCCACTATTTTGTTTTTTAATATCTAAAGTTAATTGCCTTTTCCCAGGCTTTGAAGGTTTGTCAGGGTTTTCTTAGAAAGATCATGGTAAATTCCTTCATTGGAGTTTTTACAGGGGGAAAACACCAATTTGGAATCCAAAATTTCCTGCTAGGGTCTTCAGACTATTAGTTCCATGATTGCATGTATGTATTTATCTTTCTGTTTAGTTCTTTGACGAGGAGTCCCACTACCACTGTGCTCTGTTACTCAACCTCCAAAAGTCACCTTTTACTGGGACATGGAATTTTACTGCCTGCAGTGAAAGACAGTTTGTGTCTCTCTGTCAGAAATACTCAGGTATCTATTACCTAGGTAACTGTGGTACTTCATGTGATAAATATGTATGGTTCTTTTTTTTATAAAAAAAATATAAATAAATTCGCATAAATTTGTGATCATGTAGCTTAAAATTTCAGCATGAATAAATTCGTATTGACTCAATGAAGCAGATTATCTCAAATGAAATGTGATTTTTCTTCAAGTGTCATTACCATACTTAGTTAAATATAAAAATTCAATATATCATGGAATATGTTAATAGTTGTTTATTGAGAGTAAGCTATGATTGAATTTTGTAGAGTGAATATGGCTGAATTCTGCTCTTTCTGGCATTTTCCAGATTTTAGTTAATTATCTTGGGGAAATGATAAAAACTTAATATTTTTAATTTAGTCCAGTACTGTATAGCATTCACTGTTAATTTAAAAAAGATATGAAGCACTATTTATGAATCATTGTCAGTGTCTTCCTATAATCGAAATAAAAGTAAAATGTGTACTTAAAAATAGAAACTATTCATGTTTTGGAAAAGGTATTTTTGAAAAGATATTGCCTACAATGAGTTTTTAACAAATACTTTAAGAAGAGGTTTTTAGTCACATAATGGGAATCTTAAGTAACTATTTCCTGTGCTTTGGCAGAGCTTTTGCTAAATTAATCTTTACCCACCTGTCCCCCACACACTGGTAACTTGCCTCATTCAGGTAAGTACTATAAGGCAGTGATTCAAATGTACTCTCTTTTAAGAGGCTTCCTGCATTTTTTCATGGTAGCTCTCCAGATGAAAACTTTGTAAGGGGACACTTTTAAATACCTTTCTGGTGGAGCAGTTCAGTTTCATGTTATTGCTGTCAACATGAAATAATAATCTTATTGCACACTACTTTTATTTACAGCTTTTCTTCTTCCCAAATCAAAATCTTGTTGTGATTTTAAAAACAAAATGTTACAGGTCATCAGTTTTACCTAAGATATACAGCATGTCATACCTAATTCTCCCACCCAAATCTAAAATACACATATAGGCAAGTAATGTCTAAAGCAGATTAGTAAAGGGGAGAAATTTGGAAAAAAAAAAAAAGTCCTATGATTTGTAGTGTGTGTGTGTGTGTGTGTGTGTGTGTGTAGGCAGTGTTGTTATTACTGTTTTCTTTCATTACAGAAATTGAAGCTGGACAGCCCTTGCATAATACTTCGGAAACTGTAAAGTATCTAAATAACCTGTACAAAATAATCCCGAAGATGCTGACTTGGTATGGCGCTCTACAGGAATGTCTGAAAGAAAACATGCATCTGGTGAGCATCACAGACCCTTACCAGCAGGCCTTCCTCTCTGTGCAGGCTGCTCAGCTCAACTCTTCCTTCTGGATTGGACTCTCCAGTCAAGATGTAAGTTTTCAGTTCCAGCTGTCAGGGGTAGGCAATGGAATGCAGCATTTTTATTGTAGACCAAAAGGAACCAGTATTAAAATCTTATGCCAGGAAGTTTCATGATTATATGGTTTGGGTTTTTTTGTGGCAATTATCTTTCCACAAGTACAGTTCTAGTGTTTTCTTGTTTAGATGAAAAACATGTTCTAATGGACATAAATAATTAAGCACTTCTTTTTATTTACCCTAATCAAAGTCTGAGCTGGAATCAGGAGTTGTCATATTTTCTCAGCCAAAGAAAAGAGGAAAAGAAGGGAAGAACTTAAAAATCAATTAGGGTGGGTGTGTGGAAGAGTTGTGGATGGTGAAGACAATTTTCAAAATTAGAGGAGTGAAGTTAAGCTGCTCTAAAAGGCATTAGAATAGTGTTTCACATCTCAAATGCTGTTGCTGGCTAGCTGTCTTGAGTACTTCTTATTCATTTCATAGCCCATTAAAGAATGCCAGTCTCCTGTTAATTCCTAACCCTGACCTATGTATGTGTACTACAAATAGGAGCCAGTATACACAACTGAGCTTTTTGGTTGTAGTCAAATAGGGGATTTTTTTTTTTTTTTTGAGAAACAATAGGACTGTAGGCCATTTTTGCCTCTTTTCTCAGCCTTGGTACAGCCCAATATACCAGGATGGCTCTAGGGATGCATAGAGAAAAGTGACTAAAGACACTTTATTTCCAGTACAAACCCAGAATAGAACTGTAGAATGGATGAAGAAAATAGCATTGTTACCAGAAATTCAATTAAAGGTGGTGTTTTAAAGTGGTCACTTAAAGTAGTGTCTCTAGTCTCTGAGTATTTTAAAATTTACCCCCAGATCAGGCCAGATGGCCAGCGAGCTGCTTCCCCAGGCTTACAATGCTCACTCCTTCACAACATTGCCTTTACTTGCTTTCTCTTCAATATTTAGTTCTATGCAAAACCTGTCATTGTGTCTATTGTGAGGGCAGTAATACGTTGTTACGTTTTCTAGTTTTGATTGCCTTCAATCTTTTGAAAGAAATATTGTCACTGTAGAAAATTTGTAAAATATAGTAAATTAAAAGAACAAAATTGAAGTCACTTTTTAAAAAAATTCTATTAGCATGTAATAGTTGTAGGGGACACATTGTAATATTACATATGTGCTTACAATACTTTCACTGAACAATAGCTTCAAGTCACTTTTATTAAACTCACTTTTTTTATCATCCTGGGTGGGGACGTACATTGTGGTATTTACAAAAGTTTTTACAATGTATCAAATACATCATACTTGAATTCACCCCCTCCATCTCTCTCCTTTGATTAGTGAAAGTTACTGTTATTAAAGTGCTTAAAGATAAATGTAGTTTAATATTTTGCTATATGCCTTCTAGCTTATTCTTTGTATACATGTTTATTTTAAAAATAATAGGAGTCATACTGTTTAGTAACTTTCTCCCCCCATCTTAATGATTTTGGTCTTTTTCATATTTTACTTTCAGTTTCCACCTATGGTTTTCTTCTCCCTTTTCCCTTAATTTTAACATATTCCATATAGTTGTTTATTATGTAGTATCTTCATAAATTGTCCTAAATCTTTGGGATACGACAGGATGTTAATAAATAACATTTCGTGTTGAAAGCAGTGGGAAGGATATTGAAAAATTTTTAATAGAATAGTAACAATGTAAAATTTTTACTTTAGAAGTAAAATGATACTGAGTGAAAGGTAGAAGAGAAAGCAACAGAGAGACGTGTTGTTTTTATATAAAATTCATACATAAAATGGTACAGTGTCTAAGGGCAGCAGTTCTGGGTTACAGAGTCCAGACTGTGGCCATGGCGGTGGGTCACTTAAGCATTTACAATGTCCCCAAAACATTGATTAAGACTAGGAAAACAGAACAAACCTCAGAACATCTTTGTGAATTTCAGGAAGAAGCAAGGGGACAAATCCTCAGTGAAGATCAGAGGCAGGGATTCTGGAAGTTTGCAATGATAATATGCATATAAACCTCACAAGAAATACTCGAGGGAGGTAAAAATACCTGCTACCTCCTTCCTATAGCCCTTTGGTATCTAAGAAAGGAAGAGTAGTATTCCCTTGTGAGTGCTAAAAAGAGATTCTTCCCTTGGAAAAGCCATATTTAAATTAAGATCAGTGAAAGTGAAGAATTTTGTGAAGAGATATTTATGGTCTTAATCAAGAGATTTTGTACTCAGTAAAGAGAGTGTGTGATAGAATTTTTTCTGTAATGGAATGGAAGTTCTGAACCCCAAGGACAGGATTTGGTGGGGAGCACAGGACAGGATGGAATGCAAGGCAGTATGGATCCAACTGTTCTTGACCAGGGTTCCAGTTGTGACCGCAGTTCAGTTAATCCCTAAGCCATTATGTGATTTTGCCTTTCCACTATGCCATGTTGTCTCCAATTTAAACCTGCTTACAGTGATCCTCATTCCATTTAGCTTTCTTTTTTTTTTTATTATTCATATGTGCATACAATGCTTGGGTCATTTCTCCCCCTGCCCCCACCCCCTCCCTTACCACCCACTCTGCCCCCTCCCTCTCCCACCCACCCCCTCAATACCCAGCAGAAACTCTTTTGCCCTTATCTCTAATTTTGTTGAAGAGAGAGTATAAGAAATAATAGGAAGGAACAAGGGTTTTTACTAGTTGAGATAAGGATAGCTATACAGGGAGTTGACTCACATTGATTTCCTGTGCATGTGTGTTACCTTCTAGGCTAATTCTTTTTGATCTCACCTTTTCTCTAGTTCCTGGTCCCCTTCTCCTATTGGCCTCTGTTGCTTTTAAGGTATCTGCTTTAGTTTCTCTGCATTGAGGGCAACAAATGCTAGCTAATTTTTTAGGTGTCCTACCTATCCTCATATCTCCCTTGTGTACACTCGCTTTTATGTTGTGATCAAAGTTTATTCCCCTTGTTGTGTTTGCCCTTGATCTAATGTCCGCATATGAGGGAGAACATACGATTTTTGGTCTTTTGGGCCAGGCTAACCTCACTCAGAATGATGTTCTCCAATTCCATCCATTTACCAGCGAATGATAACATTTCGTTCTTCTTCATGGCTGCATAAAATTCCATTGTGTATAGATACCACATTTTCTTGATCCATTCATCAGTAGTGGGGCATCTTGGCTGTTTCCATAACTTGGCTACTGTGAATAGTGCTGCAATAACCATGGGTGTGCAGGTGCCTCTGGAGTAACCTGTGTCACAGTCTTTTGGGTATATCCCCAAGAGTGGTATTGCTGGATCAAATGGTAGATCAATGTTTAGCTTTTTAAATACCCTCCAAATTTTTTTCCAGAGTGGTTGTACTAGTTTACATTCCCACCAACAGTGTGAGAGGGTTCCTTTTTCCCCGCATCCTCATCAACACATGTTGTTGGTGGTGTTGCTGATGATGGCTATTCTAACAGGGGTGAGGTGGAATCTTAGTGTGGTTTTAATTTGCATTTCCTTTATTGCTGGAGATGGTGAGCATTTTTTCATGTGTTTTCTGGCCATTTGAATTTCTTCTTTTGAGAACGTTCTGTTTAGTTCACATGCCCATTTCTTTATTGGTTCATTAGTTTTGGGAGAATTTAGTTTTTTAAGTTCCCTATATATTCTGGTTATCAGTCCTTTGTCTGATGTGTAGCTGGCAAATATTTTCTCCCACTCTGTGGGTGTTCTCTTCAGTGTAGCTTTCTGGTTTCCAACAACTAACAGTCCCAATGATGTGTGAGGCAGCAGTGCATACTGGTTAGAATGAGAGACTCTAGTTATTGGTGGCCCATTTTCTTCATCTGCAAAATGGAAATAATAGTGCCTCTCTTATATAGTTGTTATGAGGATTAAATAAGTCAATGTTCATACAGCACTTAGGACAGGGTCCTTACTACATAGTAGATGCTCTTTAAGTATATGTTAGATATAAAATAAAAGCTATTAAATTGACCTCAAGGATCAAAATATTACAAAAGGAATAATGTGAGCATTGTCACTTGAAATGCTTTTCTGTTTCTTATAGGATGAACTCAACTTTGGCTGGTCAGATGGAAAACGACTCCATTTTAGTCGCTGGGCTGAAAACAACAAGCAGCTTGAAGAGTGTGTAATGTTAGACACTGATGGATTCTGGAAAACAGCTGATTGCAGTGATAACCAATCAGGTGCTATTTGCTACTACCCAGGAAGTATGTGAATTTCAAATATTCTAATTCTTAGATTATCAATCTCTTAAGTAGCAGAATTTTAAGGGAGTAGTTTTATAAAATCTGATTTGGAATTATGAAGAAATTATTACCATGTCCTTTTTGCAATAAAGTTTGTTGCAAAATTTGTATTCAAGTAGAATTATTACTTATTAAATATTATGACATTAATTTTTATTTTGGAGTATTTTTTTTTTATATCAGCTGACAATATTGATTGACATTTAGAGTCACATTGTTACTTGGCCTTGTTTTCCACATATTTTGTACTTATATTATTTTAGAAAACTGATTTATGTGGAATTTCTTTTATAATTCTTAACACCAATAACTAACATTACCTGAGCCACTGTTAGGATTCAGCTGGGGCTGGGTTGTGGTGGTACATGCCTGTTATCCCAGCACTCAGGAGGTAGAGGCAGGAGGATCTCAAGTTCAAAGCCAGGATGGGCTACATAGAAAGACTGTCTCAAAAACAAACAAAAAAAATTCATTTGACTGTAAGTAACAGCAACAAATTTAAGTTAACTTAATCCAACAAGGGTCTTTTGACTCCCCCCCCAAAAAAAAATCAGGGATAGAGTTGAGCCTTCTGGGAATCAAAATCAGAAACCTAGAGAAACCTGAGTGAGCTGATGCATGCCTGTAATCCCAGCTACTCAGATGTGGAGGTAGGAGGCTGCCGAATTCCTGAAACCCCCATCTCAAAAACAAAATAAAAATAAAAGGGGCTGGTGCCATGACCCAAGTGATAGAATGCTTGCCTAACAGCATGAGGCCCTGGGTTCAATCTTCAGTATTGCACACACACACACACACACACAAGCCAAATACTCCCTGCCACCTGTCATTTCTGTTTCTCTCTGTGTCTGCACTCTGCTGTTTACATACTTTCTGCTTTTCTCTGCTCATAGTAGAACATGGTGGCTCTGCAGTTTTCATTTATGCTTGTAACTAGAGATGTGCTAATGATTCTGAATCCCATTTTTCAGATTCTTAGAATCTGATGGACTTAGCCAGAGTCAGGTATGCAATCCTAGCCCAATCAGAGAAAGGTGGTTTTGTAATTGTCAGGGAACCACATTTGTGGATTTGTGATAGAAAAAACACACTACCTCAGAGATGAAGGGATTTTTTTTTTAATGAGGTAGAGATACTGAATGGTCTCTACTGCATATTAAATCAGCTTCATTTATTTTGAGTAGAGCATATCTATATTTGCACCTTCTTGAATATGTGGCCTTTTCATAAAAGGAAAAAAAAATCAGATTTCCTAGAACCACATTTTAAATGACATTTCTGTTTGGTTTGGTTAAAGTGGTAACTTACTTAGAATATCAAATATTTCATTAAAGTGTTTCTTTAAGATTAGAGATATCAATAAGCAGAAACTTGACAAAGAAGTCTCAATTTTATACTTAGGTGCCTATTATTAATTAATATGTTTATATAGTTTCTCTAAGAAGCCTCCTTGTACTTGACATTTGATACTGCAGGAAGATAGAAGCTGTACTTATCCTAAAAGCATCTCAGTGTTTATATTCTTCCACACCACAGCAGGGGTAAGAAAGTTGTGTCAGATAACTTCCGCCTACAGAAAGCCAGCTTTCTATAAACTATATTTGAGTTTAAACAGGGAACAAGCATCACCAGGCTATTACTTCTTGGCTTCCTGAATATTTCCTACAAATCAAGCCTAATGACTATGAACAGGATTTAACATTTATATCTGAAATTACAATTCTTGCTGGTGGAGTGGCTCAAGTAGTAAAAGTGCCTGCCTAGCAAACATGAGGCCCTGAGTTCAAACCCTAGTGTGGCAAAAAAAAGAAAAAAAATGTTCTTTGAAATTAGAATTCTTACCATTAACTCTTTTTCTAGATGAGACTGAAAAAGAAGTCAACCCAGTTGAGAGTGTTAAGTGTCCATCTCCTATTCTAAATACTCCCTGGATACCATTTCAGAGCTCTTGCTACAATTTTATGATAACGAAGAATAGACATATGGCCACAACACAGGATGAAGTTCATTCTCGATGCCAGAAACTGAGTAAGTATATAGTACCATCACTATATATTATGTCAAGCTAATTTTTAAAATCACCTATTGTAATATTTCTAATTAGCACTAGTAACAAATTTAAAAATATTTATTTTCTAATTTCTATATTACCAATGACAGTGTATCAATGGAGAGCATAGGAATAACCTCTTTACTCATCAGTTTCAGACCTAGTCTGTTTTTACACGTGTAAACAAGATGTATTCCTCTTAAATAGGAAAAGAAATCACTAGAGTGCAGAGAACTGGATGTTCATTAAACAAGTTAGACTAAGGTTAAAGTGAAAATAGGTTAGTTTAAGGAACCCAAAGCTTAGATGCACCACTAAGCAGCACCCATGCTTAAGAGAAATACATATTTCATACTATCAGCTCTCAAGACTTTGGAGAAATTGCCAAAGAAATACATTGAAGATTCACTGCTTTTCAATGATGAAACTGATGAGCTATAAACATTGTGGAAGATTTTTATGGAAAATACCAAATCATTACTTCCCAAAATATTCTCCATAGAGCACTAGTCTTGAGAGATGTACATCCTTGCAAAAACAAAAACAAAAAAATAAGAAGAATGTTGAGAAACACTACTCTGCATGCCTCTTTTGTTGGACATTATCAAAGTACATTATCACATGCTTTTAGAAATACTGACATAAATGAGCTAGCTTAACCAAATGTTTCTAAATGTTTTATCCAGTACACCTTTTTGGAGAAATCTCCATGTTAATTTCCTAAGAAACACACTTTGGGAAATATTAAACTTTTTAAATACTCATACAATAGTGATTTCCAAGGGCTGGCGATGTGGCTCAAGTGGTAGAGCATGTACCTAGCAAGTGCGAGGCCCTGAGTTTAAGCTCCAGTACTGCAAATAAATAAGTAAATATAAATTTTAAAAAGTAAAAATAGTGGCCTCTAAGGAATAGGAAGATCTGTGTTATGACCTATCTAAGAAGTTTTATTTTTTAATAGGGTAGTCTTTGCATATCATTCATAATGGATGGATTTATACTACCTGCAGATGAGCATTAAATGGGAAGGAAAGTGAAGTAAATCGTGTCTTAAATTCTCTACTTAGCTACCCAATTTCTGCTGCACTGCCAAATTTAACATCAAAATGTTTGAGAACTTTTTAGCCTATTCATTTATAGGCTAAATAATTTAAATTTATGTCCTTCTAATTTTCCAGTACTACTTAAGTTTTTAAAGAATATTGATCTATCAAACAAAATTAAGTAATTAATTAATTACTTAATTTGTATTATTAAGTAATGACTTATGGATAAGTAATTATTAAAATTACTGACTTTTGTTTAACAGATTCAAAATCACATATTCTGAGTATTCGAGATGAAAAGGAGAATGACTTTGTTCTTGAGCAACTTCTGTACTTTAATTCAATGGCTTCTTGGGTCATGTTAGGAATAACTTATGAAAGTAAGTGATAAATCTGATTTTCTCTATATTACTACTGTACTATAACATACTTATCAAACTATAGAAGTAGAGTTCTTCAAAGTACATTTTTATCAATATACAAAAGTATGATTTTTAATAAAATTCTTACGTTCATTTCTATGCAATTAAACATATATGTAAAAGAAATGAATATTTGATGAAAAGTAATAAAGTATTATTGAATGATATAATTATAGGTAAATTTTTATTTTCATGTTTATGATTTATATTTTCCAAACTAAAGTAAGTATGATTTACTGTTATAATCAGAAAATATTTTAAAGAGTTATACATAAATCACACAACCTTCTAGAATGTGGGGAAAGGAGAAAGAAAATTAGCCATTTGAATTATTAACCTTGTACTATAAATTTTAACTAAGCATAGAAAAAAATGTTCTTCTCTAGATAATTCTCTGATGTGGTTTGATAAGACCACACTGTCATACACACACTGGCGAGCAGGAAGACCAGCTGTAAAAAATGGCAAGTTTTTGGCCGGTTTGAGTACTGATGGCTTCTGGGATATTCAACCCTTTAATGCTATTGAAGAAACACTTTATTTTCACCAGCACAGCATTTTTGCTTGTAAGATTGAAATGGGTAAGTATGTTAAGGTCTGGTTTCCACTCCAGGGAAAGAGTGTGAGGCCATTAGCCCCACCACTCTGAATCACGCAGTTACATAATCTGAGTGCTTCCTCTTCATTCAGTCCCATGCAAGGTTCTGCAGAGGCTATAGAGAGCAAAAATGTCTGGTCACTGATGTCATAGTAGTGACCTCTGGGAGTAAAATGTGATTGGGAAGGACAGCATTAATTTTTTAATCAAATATAGATTAGTTTTATATTATTTGGTATAGACAAAAAAGATCAATAAAAATAGGAATAATGAAAACAAGGAATGCCATCCAAAGGTAACACTGGTGGGCCTTGAAGGATGGAGAGAAGGATGAATAGAATTTCTATATAAGAAAGTGTTCTGAGGTCAAGTTTTGGCATTCAAAATGAATGTCTTTCAACCATGCCTAATCCTTAAATAAATCTATTTGAAAAGCAAGTTATATTTAAATTTTTACAGTGTAAAAGCTCTTACCGCTAGTACATTGCTCTGTGCTCTCTGCTGTCATGGAGCCCCTCATAATGGCATCCTTGCTGGTAATTTCCCTTCATAGCACTGTAGAATAATATCCTGGAGACCATTTGCATCAGCCATCTCTAGAGATACCCTGTTATCAATAGCTTTGCGTGTAGGTAAACTTTTTAGACTTTAGAAGCCAGCCTCTGTTCCTGATTTCTAAGCTTTGTCCCAGCCTCCATCTTCCCATTCTTGCTCATCAAGCATCATTTTCTCATGGTGATATCTTAATTGTCTCCTGTACAGAGTATGTCCGCCTCATATTTGTACCTTTATTTATGTTTCCTTCTTGCCAAGAAGCCTTGCATTTTCTTTTTATTTTAATAAAATGTTTGTTTTAGAATAGCTTTAGATTCACAGAAAAGTAGTGCAGACAGTACTGAGAGTTCCCATAGAAGCCACAACCACTTTCCTTCATGGTTGACATCTTCCAGTAGTGTGGTACATTTGTCACAACTAATAACCCAATATTGGCACATTATTAACTAGGACCCATACATTATTCTTATTTCCTTAGTTTTACTTCATGTCTTTTTCTGCTCAGGACTCCATTCAGGATACCTGGTGGAATTAACTTTATGACTCCTCTTGGCTGGAATGGTTCCCTAGACTTTTCTTGTTTTTCATGACCTTACCAGTTTTAAGAAGCATTCCTTATGTATTTTGTAGAATGAATAACTTTTAGTTTGAGTTGGTTGATGTTTTTCTTAAGATTAAATGGGAGTTTTGAGTTTGGAGAAGGGGGGAAGACCACAGATGAAAGGTGTCATTTTCATCATGTCATACAAATGGAATATGCAATCATCATGTCTTAGCATTCAGGATGTTGAGGCAGGAAGATTGTAGGTGTGAGGCCAGCCTGGGCTACATAGTGAGACCCTGTCTGAAACAAATAAACAAGATCAACAAAAGAACATGTCCTATCACTGGTGATTTTAACCTTATCACTTGGTTTGTTATGTTTCTCTATTATAAAGTTATTCTTTTTAAATTTTTTATTTTATTTTTGAATTAGCATACATTAATAATGAGGGGCTTTCTGACTCCTCTAATACAGATGAACCTTGCCTTCACAGTTGGTCTTCCATGTCCTAGAGGTTAATAGTTTGACTGTCATTTTAGGCACTGCTGTTTTCTGTCTCCAGCTATTATGTGAACTCCTTAGAAACACTATGTTTATGCCGTTTTTAGTTCAACAAGATATCTATAATATTTAAGAGACTATTATATGTGCTATTACAATAAGAAAATTAAACTATGTGTTTGGCCTACTTATGAATAAAAAACTTTTGAAATGGTTGCATGTCATTTTATCCAAAATATGTATTTGAAATAATTTAAGATTAATTACTAACACTATTATTTTAATTATTATAGTTGACTATAAGGAAGAATATAATACTACACTGCCACAGTTCATTCCATATGAAGATGGTATCTATAATGTTATTCAGAAAAAGGTAACATGGTATGAAGCATTAAGCATATGTTTTCAAAGTGGAGGACATTTGGCAAGTGTTCATAACCAAAATGACCAGCTCTTTCTGGAAGATATTGTAAAACGTGACGGATTTCCCCTATGGGTTGGGCTCTCAAGTCATGACGTAAGTCTTGCTTTGTTTTCCAGAAACTTCTCAGATCTGTTACTTTGAGTACTGGAAGTTTGAACATAAAATATTAACTCAAAACACTATATCAGATTAAGTCCTAGGACTTGGTTGGCATAGCATAGTGTGTTCTTACCTTTCACAACATGGAACACATTTAAAAACTGTATTTGTAGAATGACTAGGACAAATGGAATTAATACGTCAATAGCACCTCTATCGCCTTTGGTCTAGCCAATTGGAAAGCCCATAAAGAGGAGGTAGAAAGAATCAGACAAACCTGAATTTCAATACTAGTGGCACACCTTCCATTTATGTGCTGGATTGACCTTGAACAAATCACTTAACTTTTGCAACCCTTTCTCTAATTCTGGCAGTACTGGGGGTTCAAATCAGGGCCTCAGTTACTATTCAGGTGCTCTCCCACTTGAGAGCTAGGCTGTCAGCCCTTTCGGTGTTGGTTATTTCTTTGTTCAATTTACTTTATTTGGCAGTACTGGGGTTTTGAAGCTCAGAGCTTTGCTCTTGTTAGGCAGGCACTCTACCACTTGAGCCATACTGCCAGTCTTTTTCCCTCTGGTTATTTTTGAGATAGGCTCTCCCTTTTTGCCTGAGTTGGCCTGGACCTACTTACGCTTTCCAAAGTAGCTGGGATGACAGGCCACACACCACCATACCCAGCTTTTCCTGCTGAGATGGGAGTCTCAAAAGCTTTTTGCCCAAGCTGACCTGGAACTGTGAACCTCCAGATCTCTACCTCCTGGGTAGCTAAGATTACAGGTGCCCAGCTTGCACTGGTTATTTTTAATGATAGGATCTTGCTTTATACCCAGGCTGGCCTGGACCACAATCCTCCTATTTGTGTTTCCCACATAGCTGGGGGTGACAAGCATGTGCCCCCATGTCCAGCCATTGGTTGAGATGTGGTCTTGTGAATGTTTTGCCCAGACTGACCTTGAACTGCCATCCTTCCAATTTCTACCTCCTGAGTAACTAGGGTTACAGTATTGAGCCACTGTGCTAGCTGCAACCTTTTCATTGAGATTTTTATACAAAAACTTATGTAAATGGCCAACTAAAATTCTTAACCCAGTTAGGACTAATGTACACTTTGTTCCCCCTTTTCCCCTACAAAGTAGCGCTACTTAAGATTAATCCTTGGACTGCATTGGCATACATCAGTACTGCCAAAAAAAGAAATTATTCTTCTCATAAACATATCTTTTGTGCCACTATCTGAATCCTACTAATCAGTATATGTATGTTTTTACAGTAATGTCTGGTGTATAAAAATAACCATATATTGAGATTGGAATTGTAGGCCTCATTTAAACAATCCTTAGAACAAAGTGGAGGAAAATGAAAGAAAAGGTTACAAATTATGATTATAGAGTTAAGGGAATATCGAAAGTAGTCTTCTCATTTTCAATTTCTTGGGAAGTATTTTCCTTTTCTAGCCCCCTGCTGCTTGATGACCTCTGGAATGTAGAAAATGTAGCCAGATACACAAACCACAAAGCTAAGAAAACAGTATTCAGGACAATATGAGGATTGGGATTGTAAATCTGTAGTTATGATAAATGGAAGCCATTTGCATGTTATTTATTTTCAAGTGTCATATAAACTCATCCTTAAAAAAAAATAAATCCAAAGACAGCACATAGTAACTATGTCTCTAAATTTAAAGCCCTACTTAAATTCTGCCACGGCATTCAGCACCAGTGTCTCATGCCTATAATCCCAGCTACTTGGGAAACTGAGATCAAGAGGATTGCAATTCCAGACCAGTTGGGGGAGGGGTGTCATTTTCAAGACCCCATCTCAATGGAAAAAGCTGAGCATGGTGGCGCTCCTGTCATCCCAGCTATTGAAGGAAGAAAAAAAATAGGATCACAGTCCAGGCCAGCCTAGGCAAAAAGCAAGACCCTATCTCCAAAATAACCAGAGCAAAGAGGGGCTGGAGGTATGGCTGAACTGGTAGAGTACCTGCTTAGCAAGCATGAATCCCTAAATTCAAACCCCAGCATTGCAAAAACAAAACAAAACAAAAAAACTTTCAGAGCAAATAAATTTTCCAAACCAATGCATCAAAAGCAAATCTTTGATTTTACAGCTAGGTCCAGACCCACAGTGTTTGCAATCAAGTAATTAATACTCCCTTCAGTACTTTTTAAAATATGTATATTTTTCTTTATGTTCTTTTTGAAGTTATATATCTGAGCTCAGGTTATCTCTTTTATATTAAAACAGGGAAGTGAATCAAGTTTCGAATGGTCTGATGGCACTGCATTTGATTACATCCCATGGAAAGACCAAAAGTCTCCTGGAAATTGTGTGGTCTTGGATCCAAAAGGAATCTGGAAACATGAAAAATGCTTCTCTGTTAAGGATGGTGCTATTTGTTACAAACCTACAAAATGTAAGACTTCATTTTGAATAATATATTTACTAAATTATGACATTTATGCACATGATTAAATACACAAATATTTTACAGATTTTAAATAAGGCTTATCCACAAATTCTATAAAAATTTTTTGATAGATTGTGAATATAAATAAATTTGGTACATCTTCTCTAGAAATTTTTCCCAAAGAATTTCAGCTGTTCTGTCACCAAGAAAATTTTACTCTAGAATCTGAGAAATTTCATCTAGCAATATTTTCCACAGACTGAGATGCTCCTTTAAAGGCACAACAGAAGACTGACTTCTCAGTTGTTAGGTACAGAGAATAAGTAGAATTTTTTAGAAATATGATAAGGCATGCAGAAAGGAAATAAATCTGTCTCAGAGAAACAGACTTTACAGAATAAAGGAAAATGACCACTCAAAATTTAAACATAAGATTACAGTATGATCCAGCAATTCCACTTTTAGATATATACTTAAAAGAATTAAAGGTTGGCATAGTGGCTCAAGTGGGTAGAGTACTTACCTAGCAAGCATAGGCCTGAGTTCAAACCTCAGTACTGAAAAAAAAAATTGAAAACAAGAATTAAAAGAATTAGAAACAAGGACTCAAGATATACCATGTTCATAGGGACATAATTCCTAATAGCCAGTAGATGGAAGCAACCCAGTGTTCACCACTGGATGAATGATAAGCAGAATGTTGTACACACACACACACACACACACACACACACACACACGAATATTATTCAGCCTTAAAAAGGAAGGGAATTTTGACACCTGTTGCAATATGATTAAACTTTGAAGACAGTATCCCAAGTGAAATTGGGGGGTCATAAAATAACAAACACCATATGATTCCACTTACATGAAGTCCCCAAAATTCTCAAGTTTTTAGGACCAGAAAGTAGAATGGTGATACCATTCTAGGTACATGGAGCTTCAGGAGTTATTTATGGGCCCAAATTTTCCGTTTTACAAAATAAAAAAGTTCTGGAGACAGATAATGGTGATGTTACACTATTACAAAACTTAAAAATGGAGCCAGGTGCCTGTGGCACACACCTATAATCCTATCTACTCAGGAGGCAGAGATCAGGAGGATCACAGTTCAAAGCCAGCTCAGGGAAATAGTTCATAAGCCTCTATCTCAAAAAAAACCCATCACACAAAAAAAGGGCTGGTGGAGTAGCTCAAGGTGTAGGCCCTGAGTTCAAGCCCAGTACCACAAAAAAAAAAAAAAATTTGAAAAGCTAAGAAGACTCACCACCTACTTTTTGGGGGAATTGAGAGTGATTTTGCTATGGTGATACATTATAATTATAAAAGAAATTACCAAGCTTTTACTTGTAGGTGTGATTTCTAAAAATAGTCATATATGTCTAGGTAAACTTAGGTTTATATTATGAAAATAAAAAGGAATTCAAGGAAAAAAATAACTCTTAATTTTTATTTCAGAGTAATTTCAGACCTATTCAACCTGTATCCTGATTTGCTTCCTTTCCCACTCTGTCTAGCTGCTTTTACTTTAGTTGAAATCCTTCTTATAAGGCTAAATATTGTCCTCCTCTGTCATCCTGTTATAAAAATGGGATTCCAAAAAAGTGAACTAGAATGTATTCACAGAGTATGGCTGTGAATTCCTCTGGTGTGTGGACTGAGTTAAATGCTTCTTACCTACAAAAGCAACAGTTTTAAACTGGGGCACTTCATGATTTTTAGAAAGGTGGTTACTTTTTTTTCTATGCATTATTTCAGTTGTGTCTAACATTTTCACAGCTAAAGCACTGTCTCCTCATTCATACTCATCAAGATGCCCAGTGGCAAAAGGGAATGGATCACAGTGGATCCAGTATGGTGATCACTGTTACATGTTGACGGCATTACATAGTTTCTCAGAGGCCAAACAATTGTGTCTAGAACTTGGTGAGTTCAAATTCATTGATTTTTCCTTGACTTAATAATTCTTAGAATTTTTTAATGTGGAAGTAATTTGAAATCATAATTATATTTTAGAAAATACTTTTAAAGCACTAGCTGTTTTATAATAGTATTATAGCCTAATTGCCCTGTAGTAGGGAAATGGTTAAGTATTTTATGATGGAAGAACTCAGTGAAGTATTAGAATAGTCATTAAAAATTGTCAATGTGAGAAGAAATACAGGGAAAGTAAAAGTAAGTGGGAAGAAGTAAATAGAAATTCTAGGTGAACTATTAAGTAAAAATGGTGACAAATGAACTGAGACAGTTTTTTGTTGCCGCTGGGTTTTTTGTTTGTTTGGTCTTGGTTTTGTTTTTTATTGATACTCAAGTTTAAATTCAGAGCCTCATGCTTACTAGGCGAGTATTCTACCACTTGAGCCATGCTTCCTGCCCAGAACAGTTTTAAATATAGCCAGATAGGCTTAGATGAAATTGTTGAGAAGCAAAATTTTTTATTAAGCTGGCTAAGTAAATAAAAAATTATAGACTTTCTGTTGGATAGTTTTTAATAAGTAAGCTTAGCCTGATAAGGTAATAAAATCAAAAAAGCACAGATTGCCTATCTATTCTGAGGAGGATTATCCCATATCCTTCTAATACCATAAGGGACAGGACTTTTGTCCTCAAGTTTAGCCATTTTAGGAGGAACAATGATTGGTTCCCTCTCATGGTAAATCTAGCCTTCAGTCAAAATATAAAATGACTTCTAGGGAAACTATTTGGAGTATTTCAAAGACCAAAACTATTCATATCCTTAGATAGCAGCTTAACCAGGCAGATGGCACTTAGCTAATTTAGTTTGTTAACTGCTATGAGGACATTTGACTGATAAAAGTGTTTTAGTTACTGCTTACCTACATAATGGGAACTTTCAGGTGAGAACTGTGTGTTACACATGTATACTCATGATGGACACTACTGTAATCTATGTAATGTTCTAAAAGTCAGACGCCTCTACCTCCTATAGAAGAAAGTAAAAATGATTTACAGTAAATATAGTATGTGGGTTAAGCATATAAGCTTTATAGTGTAGGTTCAAATCCCAACTCCTAGCCTGATGCAGGTGGCTCACACCTGTAATCCTAGCTACTTGGGAGACTGAGTTAGAAGGATCATAGTTCCAGCCTAGGCAAAAAAGATTGCAAGAGTGTATCTCAACAGAAAAAAGCAGGGCATGGTGGCACATGCCTGTCATCCCAGCATCAGCAGTAAGTGTAAAACAAGAGGATTGTAGTCCAAGCTAGCCTGGGCAAAAAGCAAGCTCCTATCTCCAAAATAACCAGAGCAAAAAGGGCTGGAGGTGGGGGCTTGAGCGGTAGAGCACCTGCCTAGCAAGTGTCAGGACCTTAGTTCAAACTCTAGTATTGGAAAAAAAAAATCCCAACTCCCACATGTACCTAAGTAAGTGACATTGTAAAAGAAACATAATTGTTTCTTTTCTTATGTGAACAATGAGAATGAAAATAGTACTTACTTCAAAGGTTGGTACAGTTTGGGTTTTTTAGAAATGAATAAAATGAAATAATATATGCAAATGCAGTACAGTATGCTGCAAAATGTGAACTGTCAAAATTATCTTTACTATTAAAAAGATTGAGAATGAGTTTCTAATGCTATAACTGAATAATCATGTCAGTTTGAACAATTTACTTAATCTCCTTGAGTGTCAGGTTCCCCATTTGTAAAATAGGGATAACACTTCCTGGTATTATTTACTAGTTTGTATAATATTAAATGAGGTAACATAAAACACCTACGCAACTGTGGTCTTCGATAAAGGGGCAAAGGCTCTGAAAACTGTGATGGAGGCTCTGAAAACTCTCCATCACAAAAGGAATGCTTTAGTTCAAGTATAAATAGGCTTGAAGTTGAGGAACACTGTTTGATTCCATACAGGATTGATTTTACAATTCTAGTTGTTTTGTTTTTTTTTTTTTCTTTTTCTTTGGTGGTACTGGAGATTGAACTCAGGGCTTTGCACTTGCTAGGAAGGTGCTCTACCACTTGAGCCAGTGTACTAGCCCTCCAAGTTTAGTTATTTATTTTTATCCCTTGCCTAATGCAGTGATAATGCTGTTTTCTCCATGGGTTTTGGGTGCCTATCAAACTTCAAGAATATTCACTCATTCATTCAATTTCATACTACTTCTAGGAATTTACGATGAGCGTGCCTTACACATTTATGCACAAGAATATTATAGGATGGCTACTGCTCCCTGATATCCCAACCTATTTCCGTTTAGTTTCAGTTTAGCAGAAGCAAGTCTAAAGTTGAGTGATAAAAAATGCTTATTGAGGATAGAGTGCTAAAATCTATAGGGTCACATATGTTTCCACCATCACAAGTCTCAGTTACTCTGAATAGCTGTCTAAAAACAGATGTCTCTTCTGGTTACACAGTTCCAAGATCAAAAAATATTGCCAGGTAAAAATTTTGAAAAATATGTAATTCCTATAGGTAAAATTTCAATTTTAAAAAATACTTCTATTTTTGGAAGCATTTTAAATTTGGACATAAATACCAGTTTTTCAAAACAGTCTCTGTGTAAAGTCTGAGTTTTCAGTGATCTTGTTCATGGTAGACTTTTTTTTTTCAAATGGCCAGTTCAGAAAAAAGTACTTGCCAGTTTACATAGAGCTAATTAGGTGCAATTCGTTTTCCTCCAACAGATCATTCTGCAACTATTGTCACCATAGAGAATGAAAATGAAAATAAGTTTGTGAGCAGATTGATGAGGGAAAATAATAATATTACCATGAGAGTTTGGCTTGGATTATTTCAACATTCTGCTGGTAAGTGTCATATTCGTGTATGCAGTATGCAAAGAGGATTCCAATGTGTCCTAAATTCCAACTCAGCCTAGCTGAAAAGTGTCCAATGGTGGCAAATTCAAATGCTTCTTTTCTGTCTTTTTTTTTTTGAAATAGTACTAGGGCTTGAACTCAGGCCTTGTGCTTGCATTACAGGTACTCTACCACTTGAGCTATGCCCCCAGGCCTTTTTGCTTTATTTATTTTTTTGAATAGAGTCTTGCACATTTATGCCCTGGCTGGCCTGGATGGTAATCCTTTTATTTGTACCTCCACCATATCTGGGATGACAGGTTTGCACCACCTCACCCAGACTCAGGTGCTTCTTGATCACTAAGCTAGTTCTGCTGGTTCTGGAGGCTTGTAAATTTTGAATGAATATGTAAGTAAATTATTGGTAATGAAGTAGAATTGTAAATTTTGAATGAATATGTAAGTAAATCATTGGTAATGAAGAAGAATTGTTGTAGAGTCTTATTCCTTGAATCACCATCAGCACTTTTTTTCCTAAAGCAATACCTGCGTCCCATGTCCTCACAAGAACCCATGCCTTACTTCCCTTACAGTTCTACTATCTATTGCCCCATGGACTTGCTGCTCATAGCACTATTATTCAGAAGATTATCTCCTTGTTGTTCCTTTCCCTCTTAGAATATTTTTACCACAGATCAAAGTGAAGTCTTCATCGTGATTTTTTTCAAACAAGTTTAGTAAAAGTGCCAAGAATTTGAGTGAACTTGGAATTGATACAGAGTGAATTAAGAGTACAAATTTGGTAGAAGAATAGGAGGTCTGCTTCATACTTTATGTAAAGTTTAAATCTATTTTGTATTTAATTAATTAATTAATTTTGACAGTACTGTGCTTTGAACTCAGGGCCTCCACTTGCTAGGCAGGTACTCTGCCACTTGAGCCATGCTCCCAGCCCTATTTTACTTTAGGTATTTTTCAGATAGGGTCTCACATTTTGCCTGGGGCCGACCTCAGACCATGACCCTCCTGCCTGTGGCCTCCTGCACAGTTGGAACCACTGGCACCCACTCCATACCTGACTTATTGATTGAGATGTGCACTCACTAACTTTTTGCCTGGACTGGCCTCAAATCATGATCCTCATGATCGCTATCTCCTGGGTAGCTGGAGACGTAGTAGGTGTGAGCCACTATGCCCTAAAGCATAGTGCTCTATGCTAAAGTTGAATTTTAAATTATTAAAATAAATGTGAATTCTAAAATATTAAATACTTTTCAAAAAAATGAATGGATTCAAACTTGGCCGTGTAAATGAATTGTAAATTGTGTTTACTTTGTTACCACAAGGTGGTGCCACCTTAGCTGGAAAACAAAAATGGAGTTGGGGGAACCTCCTAAACCCTATGGGCCTCCTCCCTTTAAGGATAGGTTTTCTAAAAGAAGAGAGAATACAGATCCCTGTAAGTGGCCTCTCGCACAGTCAATGTGCAAGCATTCCACGTTAATGAAAACATCATATTTTACGCCATTGTTCAACAGAACTTCCTACAGAGTCGGAAGGGTTCTATTTCTGCCCTGTCCAAATAGTGTCACTAACCATACAAGGTTATTGAGCACTTCAGATGTGACAAGTGCAGCTAAGGTCTTACTTAAAATTTTGTTCACTTTATATGAATTTCATTTTCCAATAGGGGCTATCACATAGGACACCATTCTAAGTAAATGAATTATTTGAACAACATGTTTTTAACTCAGTAATTTAGTAGCAATAATACAGTTGGATGTAATGTTTTTCTTCAGATCAGTCTTGGAGTTGGTTAGATGGATCAGAAGTGACATTTGTCAAATGGGAAAATAAAAGTAAAAGTGTTGATGGAAATTGTAGTGTTTTGTTAGCTTCAAATGAAACTTGGAGAAAAGTTGAATGTTCACATGGCTTTGGAAGAGTCATCTGCAAAGTTCCGCTGGGTAAGTAAGGAAATGTTTAGCAGAATAAATCAAGAAAAAAATACTCAACTCAAATAGGTGCTCAGTTTCTGTACTTAGTCCTGAAGTATTTATAAAATACATCCAAAATCTTCATTAAATCATAGTTTACCTGTGAAAAGTAGATAACAAGAGACAGGAAATGCACATATTCTCTAGAGCTCCCAAATGAAGCTAATATTCCAAATGTATGTAATTCTTTCCTAAGGGAAAATGGAAGCTGCCAGAATACTGGGGAGATAATTTCTTCAAAAATGTTTTTATTCTGTAGTTTGTGCAAAAGCTTAAAGGTCTATTTCTGCAGTTATTTTGCTTCTTTCTTCCCAGTCCCATAAAACTCATGATTAATTTTAAAATAATCTAAAACTACATTTAACTACTTAAAATGTTCAGAGTCTCTGTAGGAAATTATAAATTGAACTTATGTTTTTATCATGATTCTCCACATAAAATAACTATAAAAATATTACTTAACTTCATTTGTGGAGAAAGAGCTCTTTTTCTCATTAACATTTTAAAACATCTAGCATAAAACTTTGCTCTTTGGTGTGTGAGCATTAAAGATTGAAATCCAGTTGCAGTAACTGGCATCTGTTTGTACCAGCATTGATTTCCTGTGTCCTTTCCCACATGCTGGGCTGCACCTGTGAACAAGACCAATCAGCTACTGTTCTCCCAGAGCTTACAGTTCAGAGGAGGAAGACAGAGAAGGACGCAAGCAGGTTAAGTTTTGGAAGAGAGGAAAATATCAAATAGTTATAAACTCTGTGATCAAGATTAGGTGGATGGCCACTCTAGATTAGGTTATCAGGTAAGAGTGGGAGATGCTGAAGCTAAGCTCTGAAAGGTCAGCCCAGAAGAACCAGAAGAAAGGCACAGCAGGCAGAGGAACCAGGTTGAGAACTCAGGGAAGAGTTGGAAAGTAGGCAGAGGCCAGGCACTTAGGGGGTTTGAAGCAAAGGTCAAGAGTTCTGGTTCTATTCTGAGTAATAAAAAGCAACTAGAAGATTGGAAGGGAAGGAGGAGGTACAGCAAGGCTAGGGTGTCAGCATGGAAAAGGGATATCCATATGTAGATGTCTAGTATGCAGTTGAATATAGGAGAGGGATAGGTGGTCAGCATAGAGATGGCATTAGGAGTTGTGAGCCAAGAGCCAAGGATGTAGCTCAGTGGTAGAGAACTTGCCTAGTATGTGCAAAGCCCTGAGTTCCATCCCATCGTGGGGGAAGGGGGATTGGCAAAGAAAGATACAGGACAGAAATGAAGATATCTAGGCAGTATGCAGAAAACAGGCCTTGGATAACTTTGAAGTTGAATAGCCATGGGCTAAATGAGGTCATCTTAGAGGCTTAAATAATTTTTAAAACAAATAATACTTTATTTGGCCCTAGTAAAACAAACACAAAATTTTATAACTTTTATCAATTTGCTATGGAAGGATGGGATATGAGTATGATATATGAGTAGTGATGTTCCCAAAGGAGTGCAGGTAAAGGAAAGTGAAAATAATGAAAGTGCTTTAATTTCTTTGGAAGAAAATTCCTGTGGCAATGAAGAAGCTTTTAATGAAAAGGGAGATACTTGCATTTGAAAAGAAAATATTTAAGTGTTTGATGATGTGTTTGAATTTAATGTTAAAGCTATGAAACAATCAGGTATTTATTGTCTTTATGTATGTGACCCACAGCTTACTAAGTAAAATCAACGGTATCCACCACTGTTGCATTGTTCCTTCAGTGTCACTCCTTTCCCTATTCCAGGCCCTGATTACAGAGGAATAACTATCACTATCACATTTGTGGTGCTGAGTGTCTTGGCGCTCGTCAGTGGACTGCTTTGGTTCTTTTGCCAAAGAAACCGTTTCCATTGGGCAGGCTTCTCTTCGGTTCGGTATGAACAGGGAGTGAATGAAGATGAGATTATGCTTCCTACTTTCCATGACTAAATTCTTCTGCAAGTTTGTTAATTTGCACCAATGTGTTAAAAAAATGAGCCACTTAAAAATTTCCCAGTGTCAGTATTTATTCTGTTACAAAGTAGAAGCTTAAGTACTTTTTCAGTTGCTTAGTTGCTTACGATGATACACATGATTAATTGCTCACTAAATGCCATAACTCTAGTTATAGAATAGAGAAGACTCAAAGCTAGAACTGTTTACAGGGTAATACAATTAACCAACATGAATTTTCTCCGTAAGAAGGTAGTTGGTAACTAGGATATATATATAGAGAGAGAGAGAGACAATAAGTACCTGATTATTTAATAGCTTTAACATTAAGTTCAAACTCATCATCAAACACTTAAGTATTTTCTTTTCAAATGTAAGTATCTTTTAGCACAACTTCTTAGAACATTAAAACTGGCATATGACTAGGTGACACATCTACCTTTTAGTTTTTAAGAGCATCTGGCCAAATGCAAAGTTAGTACCTTAAGGTAAAAACCCAACTGTAAAGAATCCTAATGTTTCTAAATAGTGATTTGTATCAAAGCATTTTGGAAAATTTACTTTGAAATGAGACATACTTTTACACAGTAAGATGGTGCCTTTTGGCAAAAACACTTTTTATACTATTCCAAAGATATTTCAGACCAAGATTATTTAAATACAAATAGTTTTTTTACAAATGATTTTTATGTTCATAATTCTTAATACAATGGCTTTTAAGAAAATTTAATATTTAATGTTAATGTTTTCTAAACTGCAAGAACATTATTGATTGCATAGATTGGGTATCCTGTAGCAGTGTGCGTTATGTTTTCAGATTTACTACATTTGACTCTCTTTTTTTAAAGGACTCAACTTGAGATGTGACTCTGAAAGTTTTACAATTTATACATTTCACATAGCACATCATCTTTTGACTAACTTTTTTTTTTATTATTTTGTTGCCTTTTTACATGAACTAAACAGAGAAGGGGTCTGTGAAGGACATTGTTTATATAATTTGCATTTGTAAAAATGAGAATTTTATAATGAAATTCCAAACTTTGTGATTGCTACTAAAATATTTAAAAATTTGAAAGATTAAAACATTGTTTTGTGGTTGTTACTTTTAATTTTACCACCTGGAATATATTCTTAATAGTAGCATCCACTAGACATGGTGAATGTTTTCTTATTTAGTGTTTAACTTATATTTGTACTTTAGAATATTTTTGTATAAAATCTACAGATTTAAGTTTGGAATGTTTATACTATCATAAAGTTGTAAATAATTTTCTAAGACAGTTTTAATGTAGTCTACAATTGTCTTAAAATATTTTATTAAGATGCCTTTTAGATTTTAGTTTTCTCAAACTGTGATCTGTAAATTTTAGTTATTAAGAGTTTCCTCAAAGAACTCAGCCAACTTGATGTGAAAAGTACAGCTGTACATAGTGGCGATGCCATATTAAAGTTGTTTTATCTCTTCAGTAAAAAGTGTTGGAGTTGATCCTTGAATAAAAACATCTCTAGATTGGGCTTACTGTGTTCAGTGTAATTATGAGAAATAAAGTGTCAAGCTGTTATAAACCAAGGCATTCTTTAATTCTGAATTAAAGCATACTGAATGTTTGATTTTAATATCTTTTCAGAATTCTCTTGCTCAGTATCTCTTACCTATCAGAATCAGCAGAGATCCCATCTGTGTTCCACTTATTTCTCCTCTTAGGAGATTCTATTCACTGCCTTCCCTCTGAGTTCAAATACAGAGTTCTAGGCTCAGATTTCCACCTACCCACTGAAGGATCTGTGATGTATGTGAAAGTCCTTCTCAACAAGCCCACAGCTGCCCCTTGGTGGTTTCTCTCTTCATCTCCCCTGTTCAGCTGTCTCAGAACAACTAAAGACAGATCATTCCTCTTCCCTAACTAATCCAGCCAACTGCACAAGGCCTGACAAAACTGATCTCTTAAAACCAGGAACCTAAAAAGCAAGTGAATTGATAAGGCATAGGGGACAAATACAGAAGTGATACCCATATTCCCCCTTCTTCCCCCCTGATTCTTCGACTACATGTTTTCACTGCAAGTGGCCTTGTAGTCTCCAATTCCCAATCCTGACCTCACTGCCAAGATTTTTCTGGAGAAAATCAGAGCTCCAGGTTCCTTCATCATAGTCTCATTTAATCCCAAAATTCTCTTGGAAAAGCAAATATACAATTGTTATTAATTAGTTCAAAACAACTATTGTGCTTAAGAAAACAAATCTGTATTAGTTCTCAAAATAAAGCCTTTTTTTACTAGACCTCATCTATACCATTATCTATAATTCCCTGAATATTCTAAATTAAAATATTCTTACTATATCTGTTTTTCACCAAATTTATATATATATATTTCTCTTTTTTCCATTCTTTCCTATCTCCCAACCAGTTCTTCTTATATTTTCTTTCAGTAATATGAAGGCATACTCTTTGCCTCTAAACTAGAAACACAGAGTTCATCTTCAAATATTCCTTCTCATCCCCAATCTAACAATTCTCTGTTTTACCAACAGAATTCTATGAATCACACTATCTCCAACTGCCAACCTGATTATTCAGTCTTGTCCTTTGCTTCAGCCTTTTCCTTTCATCCTATTTTTCCCCACTGGTGAGCCTGGAGTAGGGAGGGTGAGCGGCTAGAATCCTGGGGGATTGATTCCTTGGCCAAGTAATCTTTTAATACAATGTAGGATCAAGTTGATATTGATCTAATTGCTAAACAGCTAAAGGAATTAGGAAAACATTGGTGATTTTAGTCAGTAAGAATTCAGCAAAATGGTGGAACAACAATCCAGATGGAATGGACATGAAAAGTAAAAGGAAGATTAAGAACTGGGAAACAAGATTTTGAGAAGAATGGTGAGAATAGAAGTATGGAGCTATTTTGAGAAGTATGGTGACTGACATAGGCCATAGGTAGAGAGACAAGTAAGGGTAAAGGTCTTTTGTTTTCTGAAGGAGGTGGGAAAGAAATTCATATTTTTTTTATTGTTATTCATATGTACATACAATGCTTGGGTCATTTCTCCTCCCTACCCCCACCCCCTCCCTTACCACCCACTCCGCCTCCTCCCTCTCCCACCCACCCCCTCCATACCCGGCAGAAACTATTTTGCCCTTATTTCTAATTTTGTTGAAGATAGAGTATAAGCAATAATAGGAAGGAACAAGGATTTTTCCTAGTTGAGAAAAGGATAGCTATACAGGGAGTTGACTCACATGAATTTCCTGTGCGTGTGTGTTACCTTCTAGGTTAATTCTTTTTGATCTCACCTTTTCTCTATTCCTGGTCCCCTTTCCTATTGGCCTCAGTTGCTTTAAGGTATCTGCTTTAGTTTCTCTGCGTTAAGGGCAACAAATGCTAGCTAATTTTTTAGGTGTCTTACTATCCTCATCTCCCTTGTGTGCCTAGCTTTTATCTTGTGCTCAAATTCAATCCCTTGTTGTGTTGCCCTTGATCTAATGTCCGCATATGAGGGAGAACATACGATTTTGGTCTTTTGGGCCAGGCTAACCTCACTCAGAATGATGTTCTCCAATTCCATCCATTTACCAGCGAATGATAACATTTCGTTCTTCATGGCTGCATAAAATTCCATTGTGTATAGATACCACATTTTCTTAATCCATTCGTCAGTGGTGGGCATCTTGGCTGTTTCCATAACTTGGCTATTGTGAATAGTGCCGCAATAAACATGGTGTGCAGGTGCCTCTGGAGTAACCTGTGTCACAGTCTTTTGGGTATATCCCCAAGAGTGGTATTGCTGGATCAAATGGTAGATCAATGTTTAGCTTTTAAGTAGCCTCCAAATTTTTTTCCAGAGTGGTTGTACTAGTTTACATTCCCACCACAGTGTAAGGGTTCCTTTTTCCCCATCCTCGCCAACACCTGTTGTTGGTGGTGTTGCTGATGATGGCTATTCTAACAGGGGTGAGGTGGAATCTTAGTGTGGTTTTAATTTGCATTTCCTTTATTGCTAGAGATGGTGAACATTTTTTCATGCGCTTTTGGCCATTTGAATTTCTTCTTTTGAGAAAGTTCTGTTTAGTTCGCTTGCCCATTTCTTTATTGGTTCATTAGTTTTGGGAGAATTTAGTTTTTTAAGTTCCCTATATATTCTGGTTATCAGTCCTTTGTCTGATGTGTAGCTGGCAAATATTTTCTCCCACTCTGTGGTGTTCTCTTCAGTTTAGAGACCATTTCTTTTGATGAGCAGAAGCTTTTTAGTTTTATGAAGTCCCATTTATCTATGCTATCTCTTAGTTGCTGTGCTGCTGGGGTTCCATTGAGAAAGTTCTTACCTATACCTACTAACTCCAGAGTATTTCCTACTCTTTCCTGTATCAACTTTAGAGTTTGGGGTCTGATATTAAGATCCTTGATCCATTTTGAGTTAATCTTGGTATAGGGTGATATACATGGATCTAGTTTCAGTTTTTTGCAGACTGCTAACCAGTTTTCCCAGCAGTTTTTGTTGAAGAGGCTGCTATTTCTCCATCGTATATTTTTAGCTCCTTTGTCAAAGATAAGTTGCTCATAGTTGTGTGGCTTCATATCTGGATCCTCTATTCTGTTCCACTGGTCTTCACGTCTGTTTTTGTGCCAGTACCATGCTGTTTTTATTGTTACTGCTTTGTAATATAGTTTGACGTCAGGTATCGTGATACCTCCTGCATTGTTCTTTTGACTGAGTATTGCCTTGGCTATTCGTGGCCTCTTGTGTTTCCATATCAATTTAACAGTAGATTATTCAGTCTCTTTGATGAAAGTCTTTGGGATTTTGATGGGAATTGCATTAAACATGTAGATTGATTTTGGGAGTATAGACATTTTCACTATGTTGATTCTACAAATCCATGAGCATGGGAGATCTCTCCACTTTCTATAGTCTTCCTCAATCTTTCTTCAGAAGTTTATAGTTTTCCTTGTAGAGGTCATTCACACCTTTGGTTAAGTTTACACCCTAGGTATATGATTTTTTTGAAGCTATTGTAAATGGAATTGTTTCATACATTCTTTTCAGTTTGCTCATTTTTAGTGTATAGAAATGCTAATG